AATAAATGTAAAGTTATGCTGCATGTTTTTCCTTCATCATACTGCCGACTGGAGAACGACAACAGCAACAACTACTACCGGTGTACACCCACCCGTAGAATGGCGGTCAGACGGTATCCGACCGTTTGTTATCAAATTACTGCCGGTTTTTTGTTCGGTTAGAACCGCATAGGCATCGAAAATAAAACAAATATAAGTCGAAAAAAAAACAACAGTGCGCTTAATGTTCTAGTTAAACTGTTGAATGCCACGAGTAAATTTTAGGACACATAACAAGACGTGATATTGGAAAGTCATATCAAAAGGACTGGCGCAAACGTCGATTATATAATCTCGTACACGATTAGTTTGACTTGGAATAAATAATCAGAAAGAACTCGAATTAAAGTTTTTTTGTTTTCTGCAAAACTCTCATATTCAATGTTCATTTATATTCTTCGCACGCACGATAGATCCCCATGGTTATACGTATGATAATATCTAGCGTTGCTTCAGAGAGAAGTCTTCTAATTAGCTCCGACGCTAAATAAGGTCATCGTGTTCTTGAAAAAAGAATCATTTGAATTTAGCCGCTTTTCAATGTGATATCAAGTTCACATTAATATAAAAAGTCGCTACTCCTACTTGAAAGTATTCAATGCTCATTATTATTTATTAAAAAGGAGCAGAAAATACTTTACTCGATTGAAAATTAGATAAATTTGTTGATTTGTTTTTCAGAGAAATATAACCGATTGGAGAAAGTAAATGTCAAAAATAATCTAGATCAACTTAGTAACCATTCGATATTGATGTGTTTTAGTTAAAAGTCCAAACATTATCTTGATTAAAGATTCTGTTCCTTGCATTCTTAGAATATTTATGCATATCTAGTAAATAACAGCCGGGGTAGAAAAACAAAGTTTTAGTTAGTTGTTTTGACACATGCACTTATCTTTCTATTGACAAAGAAACTTTTTCTAGATGACATTTTAAACTATGCATAACCCGTTTACATATGTCGTGATTGCATTACTGATTGGAACTGTTAGGCACAGCAAAACATTTCACCTAACATACTCCTGGAATAACAATCCGTAAAAAATAATAATCATTAAATATATATGTATCTATAGAGTTCTTAACACTATTCCCTATCCGTATATTCTTACCGTTCTCTACTTGATCATTCTTTTTTCCTGAATTTGTATTACCCATGATTTTCGTTTCGGCTAATTTTCAGATTTTGTAAAAGATTAAATTTCGAATATTATTGAGACCAATTGAAACAGAATAATAAGCAAATAAGAGGGTGTGCAATTATATATATATATAGAATAATAGTAGATAATAAGAATATGTAGGCACAAGTAGCGACAATATTTGGTAAAATGAGAATGAAAATGACAGCGATTAAACTATGTAGTCGAACATGGATGCTAATGAATCATGGAATTGTTTCATCATTCAGTCAAGCAAAATGTGCGAGAAAACTAAAAAACAGACAGACAAACATTAGACAAGTAAAAGGAATATAAAGTAAGGATTGAGAAAAGGCACAAACACTCAATGATGATGTCGGCGACGATCAATTACATGAGTTTGTGAGAATGAATAAATCAGTTACTAGGGGGGGGGGCGGTGGGTGTAGGATGATTTCAGTATGACGCTGTGGAGATTTTAGTAGTGACAACATCATTACATGAGTGATGAAAAAAAGAAGAAGAAGAAGAAAAAAAAACTTTGGGTTTCGTTTTTATTTTACCTCAAACTTAACTCAATAGTAATGATGCATTTATATCGAATGAGTAGGTGAGCAGAGAAGGAAAGAGATCAACTTACTGTATGATGATGATGATGATGATGATTCTGTGCGTATTAGTATAAATCAAGTAAAAAATACCGATTAGAAGGCAATACTGAGAATAATAAAAACAAAAAAATAATATGATCAAACACACGCATGCACATGCGTCGTGGATTTTTAATACAGAAAAAAGGGGAAATGATTGTTCACACGATTTAGTGATGAGAGAACCTTTTAGTGGTAGAGAAGCGGGTGTCGAATACGACAAAGTACTATTCCGTGTCAATAGAGATGTCGACACCGATGAGTTTGCTGACAAAAAGAAATTTGAAAGAACAAAATTTAATAACGATTCCATACAATTTTCTCGTCTCTATATACTTGCGTGCTTGTTCTAAGAATTCGCCGTTTGGCAGAAGTGGCATTGGCATGGTTGGCTTTCTGCTTCTTGTTCTCCTCTTCCTCGTCCTCCTACTCTTTCTCGTGCTCTTCATGTTCTAACTACATTGGCACTACAAATATTTTTAATCTTTTCTTTTTTTGGGAGTACTTCCCTTTCTAGAGTGGTTTGATTTGGAGAGAGGAAACTTATCACAATTATAAAACAGGTAGACAAATAAGTCAGTAGTCACCGAGCAAAAAGTCAGAGAGTTAACATTAACCAGATACATCTTTTTCTTCGATCTAACTAAATTGATTCCCTTGTTTGACTTGAAGGTTTAATCATAAATTGAATGCATACCACGAGATAGAAAACGCAATTCTCATTCAACTAAACATTCAGTTAGACTAATTAGATTTGACATGAACAAGCAATAGGTGTTACCCACACGTCCGAGTTTTCTTTCTCTTTCTTCCTAGCAAATGCAGCATATACCTCACAGAAGTAATATACAATATGGTTGACATAAAGGCAAGTAAAAAGAAAAGAAGTTCCCTATGTATCTCATTGGCACTCATCAATCCTCTTCTCTCTCTCTCTCTCTCTCTCTCTTTTTTTTCTATTCTGACTTTTCACAATTGCCGCTTTAATAGAAGAATCATGCCCACACGCATGTGACGATGAGTTGATTGAATTACTTCGTTCGCTCTCGCTCTCCTTTTCCTCCTCTAAGAAGGCGGTATTATTTTATGCCTTATGTGCACGTATTATATTAAATTTATATGTATGTTGTGGTTTGGTACCAGCTGGCTGACATGATAATGAGACGCTATAAATATACATCTTTTGTTTTTCGTATGAAATCGAATGTTTACGATAGTAGTACGTTGTCTAGTGGTTTTTCTTTCTCGTTTCTGTTTATCTATAACGTTGATTTCCCAAGATAGCGTCCCTGTTAAATAATCGATAGAATTATTGTCGAATACTGATTATGTGTATTTATTTATACATAAAATATGCTTATTTTTATCCAATTAGATTAATGCTAACTGTCTGTGTTTGTTTCTGTTGAATAGAAAGGATGCCATTTGAATTGGCAATTGTGATGATTTTCACTTGTTCCTTGAACGATTGACATCAAAATAGGCCCATTCTTCGGTCTGTTTCGAATGGAAAAGAAAAAGTTGTGAATTTTGTTTTTTTATAGATTTAGCTTTCGATAGAACAAAAAAAAAATAGTACCACTTTGTATTAATAGGATGTTACGATAAATGAATATAATCACGTGCTTTACTAAAATTAAACTGTAACGAAGAAAACAATGTCGACATTGGATTTAAAGACAATTTTCACATTTGACTGTAAAAATAAATGTATATTAGAAACGGCGTTTGCGGGGGAAAACAAATATGATGAAAGCGTTGTTCGATTACATGTGATTTTTCGAATCAATTGACTCTACAGATTTGATTCAATGGGTTATGATGTTTTCTTTTTGACATAACAAGATAATGTTACGTGCAGTGAAAATGAGAGGCTCTATGCAAGTATTGATTATAGGAATTCGAATGCAAATGTTGTTTATAGCAAATATACAGATGATAGATCTCAAAATTAATTTTTTTACGTCAAGAATTTTCTGAAGTTAGATAAGAATTGAATCTATTGTTGTAGGATAAAGAATTTGCGAATAGATCTCTATAGAATGAAACATTCTTCGGCAGTCTTCTAGCTTTCAATTAAGTTTTATTAACCTTACGGAAAGCATGAAAATGATGTTTCCATAGAAAAACAGAACTCGACATGAACGTCTTCTGCACGATTGATAGGCGTCCTCGAGCGCTAGAAAGCATTTCATGGAATAGAGAATCCTTTGATCTATCATTCTCTTCAATGCAATTGTGACTTTTAGGGGAAGACCCCATGTTTAGTTTTTTCCAGAGACCTGTATTCGTAGGTACAGAACAATGGTTTATGTTTTTTTGAGATTTCCTGTTGAGGACACAATTTTCTATTCAAATTGCTATCCGACCAGTAGAAACAATGAGCATCAAAGCTTATGCGAATCATAATACTCGAAACTTTTTTATATATTAATGTCTAGATTGACATATGAGAATCGACGGATCACCTATTGAAGGGAAACAATCAAGTTCGATGTCAAGACGCTCTCATAAAATAGAGTTCAAACTTGACTCTTTCATTAATGATTTGTACTCTATAAAATGCATTTGTCTCCAGGCAATTCACCATTGAGAATTCGATTGAAAAATCTCGAAATTATTCATAATCTTATGAAAAGTTCGTTCTCTCTCGAATTGATACCGCATGCTAAAATGTATGTCAATCAACAACACAAAGACTCTAAAAACTATTCATGAATAAGATTCTATCAGAATAAAAATTATTATTCCGTTTTCTACAAAACCAATATTTTCTTTCCTTATATTATGTAGTGATATACTATTTATTGAGACAGAATATTCTATTTCAAGTATGGCGCCATAGGTTCGCTGAATAACAACCTATTTTAGGAAGAAAAACCCCATAGACGTGCATGTCAACATTTGAATACAATTTATTATATTTGATAGCTTTCAGTAACTCTTAGTTCAACAAGTAAAAACGACGATCTATGTCTATCTATAATATTTTTAGTTTATCGAGTATGAGAGATTATATCGTAGCTCCAAGCAGTCGTAAATAATATTCGAATGATTAAATTCAATAGTTAAGTTTTTCGTTTTATTGAACAAACAACAATTACAGACAAAAAGAAAATGAGACAAGATTCTGAATTGAAATATATTCATTTCAATGTATTTGTTTTTCTTATAGATATAATGAAGCTGCAAAAACAATATCACGTTTGATCTTTTGTGTACCTGAGCAAAAAGAACATTGATTTTGTCTATTAATAAATTCTTAAAAAAGAAACAATACCTTCAGTAAATTTTGCTTCGAGTTCGCTATTACCAATTGCTTTAGCTGCACAGCACATTTGTCGAAGAAGCTCTTCAAGTCTTCGCATACAACGTACAATAGATCCTATCGAATAGGAGAAAAAAGTTCGATGACGCTTCTAAAGTTTTAATTGTTATTTACCTTCGAATATTGTTGTCATTTTACAAATATTAGCAAAGCTTTGTCCGTCGACCCACGCTTTAACAACATCCATCATGAATGGTTTAAAACCATCAACATAACGTTCTTCGTCCATCTCGATTTTACTTTCAATCGATACTCGTGCTACGCGACGAGCTGTTTCCTAGAATAATGAATTTGTTTTTCATGAATAACTCTTTTATTGAACATTTCGTACAGTAAAAAACACTATATTAGATTTTCTAGTCGGAATCGGAGCTACTTTTTCTTTGTGTATTCAATGACTAAGGCGCCAAACATATGATGAAGAATGATATTATTTCTATTGAGTTACCACAAAGGACTAATTGGACACATGAGAATAGGCAAGCTGCGGGTTAAAACAACCAACCTTATAGAATAATATTAGCATTTTTATGTATCATCTCAAAATGTTTTTTGAACCAACAAGTAAAACCAAAGAAAACATCGTAACGCAAAATGTTATTATTAAATGTCGAAAGTAAAGTACGAGATAATCTTGCGAGATTGGAATCCTAAGAGAAATGAGCAGCCCCAGGAAGTGAAAAGTTTCATTATTGTTTTTTTTCTGAGACTTGTTATGAAACCTCATAGAATTATAACACAGAGAAGATATATAGATAACCCCTAATCGCTCTTTTTTTGGTTGCTTTGTAATGATAGAAAAAAAATTTAGTATTAGACTCAGAGACTATTATAATTGTAAAGGTGCACTATAGGGTCTCATCCTTGAATCAGTTATTCTCCTGCGTCTATTTATTCCTGTTATAATGGATGAGTCAATAGACGAGAAAGTGCACTGATTCGATCTTTTTGTCATTTAATATTGACTTTGAGATACTTGAAATCATCACTTGTATTTGTATAAACCGACTTGTCTTCTATTCGTTAAGGAAATTGTTCATTCATATAATCACTTCGATAAAATCTGCAAGTTACAAACGATACTTTTGTTCTAGCAGAGAAATCTTAAGAGACAAAGAGCGAAAACGATGACACTCATTAATAGCCGATTCTACACAAAATTTCAAGCCAGTAAGTCAAAGCTAATAAATCAGATTAGTTTTAAAGCTATTCAATGCTCATAATCAATTCACCAACTGACTTTTCTGGTTAGTTCATCGAAGAATATCCGAAATACGTTTTCACTCCAATCCTCCGAATACATTTTTTTCAAAACCTTAATGCGATGAAACAAAAGCATGAGGTCAACATACTTGTAGAAGATGTAATGGTACTGACAACTCTGGCAGTAATTTTGGCATTTCATTTGCTTTTTCTTGAAAAACAAAACAACTAAGCAATGCACATGCTTGACTGACAGTTAAATCATTGAAAACGCCATTAAATAAAAGTTCAGTTGTAACAAGCTCATCGCCAGTATCGATTTCACACGCAACACGTCCTTTTAAATCAATAACATCAGCTGAATTACAATAACCTAGACGACGTAAAACACGTTTATGTCGTTTTAAATCTCCAATTTGTAATAACGATTGTGCCTTTTTCAATTCATTTTTTGCATCGATCACTTGTTTTTCAATATTTGCTTTACGTTCATATTGCTCGTAAATAGTTTTCAATTGAGGACTTTTTGTTAATGGATGCTCATCAATACGTGTTTGCAATATCGAATATTGTTTTATATAGGATGTCATATCATTGGATTTTATGCCCATATCTCTTACAGGATCAAGTAATGGTAGGCCACATGGATGACGCCGTATTATATCTTGAACTGCTTTCAATATACCTTGTCGAGCTTCTTTTGTTCGTAAATCATCAGGGAGATAAACTCGTACTGCGCTGATTTCTCGTATTAAAATATGTTGAATTGGAATGGCCTTAAGAAAAAATTCTTTATTTTGCATTTGATTTTAAAGAAAACTTACTTTCAGTTCACCTCTTTCCGATAAAGGACATGGTTGAATTTCAACTGTTAATTTTTGTGCAGCACTTTCAAGCGTTAAATGCGCTAAAACATCGATGATATAGATTGGCTAAAGATTAAAAAAAATGAATTAGAAAGATTGTAGAGAAGAAATATTTAATACAAACTTTTTCGCCAGGTTTTTTATGAAAATTAAGTACAACACACCAATCAAAATTCAGATCACCAGATTTGACCTAGAAGAACATCTTCATTTATTGATTTCTGATGAGTTTGTCGAGAACATTGTAGTATCTCAAAAATGTAAAACGTAGACTTTCGATGTAAGTAGTTTTTAAATCGGTGGTTGAATTTAACTTGTAAGTTTTTAAAATTAGATGTACAACGATTAGAAAGTAAGTCTCTAAGATTCTATTTCCTCTTGATGTAAGAGATTTTATTTTCAAGATAATCATCTCTGGACAGGGTAGCAGTCATTGGCTCAAATTACTAATCTTTGAACACGATTATAAGCCAATATCAGACTTATAGCTTACTGTAACAAGCCGACCGGGTTGTAGAAATGGTAATAAATATTTTGGTTCATTCATCATGACTGCAATTTGATCTTGAACAAGTTCAAGTTTCTTTCGTAATTTGTAATATCTCGCAACTTCTTCTTCGTTTTCAATTTTTATTGATTCATATTGTTGTTCACAACTTTTCAATTCTAAAATCGAATAAAAACGATCGTTAAAAGACATAAAACTAAAATCGAAATTTACTGTCGTAGAGTGCAGGTATGGATGAAAAATGTTGAAATTGATAAAATGATCTTTCAAGCATAAATTCTGGATTAATACCTTCGACACGTAATAAATTTAGCACCATATTATATGTCAATTTGAATGCGCTATTCAATGGATCAGCTTTTCCCTAAAAGAAACATTTCGATAGCAAAAAAGAACTTCGCCATAACAAAAATCCCCCTTCAAACCTTAACAATTTCTTTCGCTGTTGATGGACTCATTCTTTCATCAATAACCAAGACAACAATGCCACGTTCATCTTTACCACGACGTCCAGCTCGGCCACTCATTTGAATATATTCACCGGATGTTATCTTAAATTTAAAACAAAAATCGTTCAACAATCTCCGTTAGGTAAAAATATGAAACACAATTTAGCAGCCCGGATTGTTACTTCTATACTCCTGAAAGATTGTGTTTCATAAGAAAAAGTCTGAAGATTTTTTTGTTATATCGGATTATTACCCAACGTAATTCTTTGCCATCGAATTTTCTAGCAGTTGTAAAAAGCACAGTCCGAGCCGGCATATTTAAACCCATGCTAAATGTTTCTGTTGCAAATAAAGCTTTAATCAGACCTTCGCCGAAAAGTATCTCAATTGTTTCTTTGATTATTGGTAATAAACCTGAATGATGTATGCCGACACCTTTTTTAAGTAATGGTAATACTGTATTGATTTGTGGTAGTTTTTTATCTTCATCGGATAAAAGATCAATGGCATTACTGAATACTTCTTCAACAAGACGTTTTTCGTCCTCTACGAGAAAGAAAACATGTTTTCAAGAAAAACTAATTCAATTTTCTTTGCACGAACCGGAATTAAAATCAAGTTTTGCTATTGCACAAGCATATGTTTCACAATCTTTTTTACTAAAACTAAAAACAATAATGGGTGCTAAATTTCGTTCCATGATCATTTTGACAATTTTAAATACATTAGTTTCAGCTATCGAATAAAACACAAGATTTCAATTTTTTTGTTATGAGAATTTTCTTACATTTAAAACCACCACGTCGTCCTCGTTTGTCGCCCTTTGCTGCATCACCAGCATCACGTAATGTTGCCATAGCTGAACTGAAATTATCCTCACGAAATTTACCCTGAATAAAAATATGAAAATGTATATCTATATATATAAATAATTGATGTCATTTCAATGATTTACCGTTTCATCAACAACTAAATGAAGACCATCAGCACCGGCTGGATAAATGTAATGATGAAGTGGAACAGGTCGAACATCAGTATATACAACATGGCAAGGCTAAAAAAATGAATCAATTAACAATCGAAGTTCTCAAAGAAATATATCCCATGAGGAAAACAGTTCTTTCAACTAAAAGGTAAAATACATATTTACAAATTAAGAATTCAAATGGCTCTTCCGATGATCTCACAGTATGTCATAATGCATAGACTGTGGTTCTGACTCTACGTAATATATTTCCGGTCTTAACTAGAGCAATCAAGATAAATGTTGCATAATTAGACGCATTAGTGAAATTCGCAATCCAACCGGAAGAATCGAACTTAGTTTATGTGTAAACACTTTCCTACGGTAAATTTTCATCTATACCACAATTATAGAATACGACGTATAGCAGCAAATAAAGATTAGCGAAGTGATTTGTTTTTGCAAAATTTAGTTTTGATCTTACCTGATTGTGAAGAAATGAAATCCATTCAGCAAATTGTTTTGCATTTGGAATCGTAGCTGATAGAAATACATAATGAACATTATCCGGTAGTAAAATAATTGTTTCTTCCCATATAACACCACGTTCTAAAATACTAAGTTGTATCTTACTTTTTTCTTCTAATTTTATCTTTACCTTTATCTCGAAGATAATGTATTTCATCAAATATAACCCAAGCGACTTCGCGGGTGATTTCCGAACCTCGATAAAGCATAGACCGAAGAATCTATAAAATAAAAAAGTCCACTTCTATGGCTACATTTTTGTTGAAGCTTTACTTCTGTTGTCATAATAAGACATGATGCAGATGGATTAAGAGTAACATCTCCAGTCATAAGGCCAACATCATGAAATTCTTCATGTAATTCACGATATTTTTGATTACTCAAAGCTTTTATTGGTGTTGTATAAATAACACGTTGTTTATCACGTAATGCCATAGCAACAGCATATCTAATAATAGAACAATAGACTCGTATGAAAGAATAAATTTTAATTTTTGTTTTGGCATACTCAGCTACTACTGTTTTTCCAGCTGATGTATGAGCTGAAACAAGTACTGATTGATTGTTTTGTAAACATGTTATAGCTTCACGTTGAAATGGGTCGAGATTAAATCGATATTCTTTTGCTGGCGGACCAACTGGCGCTTTCAGTGGAACATATTCAAAATTTGGCGGTAAAACAACCTAATTGTAAATTTGAAATCCTTCCGATCTTCTAAATGATTAAAAAAGCAAACCTCATGTAAGCATGATTCAAATGTTTCAACAGTATGAATTTGCATTCGCGGAACATTTTCAAAAAAACTAAAGTCAAAATTTATATTAAATTAAAACTGACAATTACATTACCTTCCGGTTCCAGTTTCAGTCAATAATTCAGTTCGAGTACGTTTCGAATTTGCGTCTGTTTGATCATCTTCTTCTTCCCATGAACGCTTATCATTCGAAGGCTTTTCAACATCAACAACAGCTTCCGTTTTTCTATAATAAAATAAAAGTTTTATAAGTCTCTATCGTATCATATGAACAAACACAAAGATTATTTTCAGTTCTTCTATTAGTGATTGAAATTTAGTACTGTGTCGTGAAAATATACTCTTCATGAAATGTTGACAAGTCCATTTATTAAAGGACACCGTTCAAATCTGAATATGCAATCAAACCAAACAAAGCCGATAGCGAGTTTGATCGAGCAGTTTCAAACATTAAATTTAGGATTCAAAAACCTCAGCCTAAATCATACGACAAAAAGTTTACATTCATTTAATTTCCCGGTATAGGGTGGCAACTTGTCATCTACAAATTGCCATGAAATTTTTTCAGCCCACACCCAAATCAATAAAATAAAACTACCCAATCAATGCAATACTTCGAAGTCTAACAGAACTTCTCTGCATAGGTGATATTTTATTTTCTTACATGACTGTAGTCGTCGTCGCCGTCGTCGTTGTTGTTGTTACTACGGGTTCAATCTGCTGTGGTAGTTCAACAATAGCAGCCGGTTCATCTTGATCGAAAACATCGAAAAGTGCGTCGTCACTCATCTAGATAAATCAACAAATATAATATGATAACAAACCGAAAATAAATTGTTTTAATATCTCTCGTCATTTATATAAAATAAATGTCATAACATATACAAACAAAAAGAAAAAGAAAATAGATATTTTATTTTGCAAGTACAAACATAAGCGCATCGATAAATTTTTGTTGATGTTGTTCTTGCAATAACAATACAGAATGATCAAAAAATACAAATTTTGCAACATTACCACAACGACGATCGGCTGCTTCGAATAATGTCGAAAATGAATTCATCATAATGCTATTCAATGATGGTACACCGACGACAATCTCAACTAATTCTTGCCCTGCATTGGTCAGCGAATAAGGAGCTATTAATATTAATGGTAAACGTTGTAGATGCTTCGATTTTTTTTTCTTAACAATATTCGTTGACGATGATGTATAGGCAATTAATATTTGTAATGCTTTACGCGCGAATACATATGCTTGATATGGATGAGTAAAAAATCCGCATGATGTCGTATGATCGCCTGTTGTCGACGAATTAAACATATTTTGATCGAATCGAAGTAATATAAATGGTACTGTATTATCGAATGACAAGTTTTTATCCGATTGCAACAGCGTTTCGATTAAATAATGAATTTTATGTGTATAAGCTTTTTCTAATTTGATTCCATCTAAATAATCAGTTAATAAATTATAATTTAAACAGGACAACGACAATGAAAAACGCGCAGTTAAATCAATCATCATAGAAGTAGATGATGACGTCGATGGTAATGTTTGTAACGTTGACATTATTGAATAAACAATATCTTGTGGTGATAATTTCAATGAAAACCCACTGCTTAATAAAAATGTTGGCAATATGATTGTATTAGTTGCATAATGATATTTGTCGTGTAGACGTTTATCTAATATTTGTTTTTTTATTGTTGATTTATATTTAATATTCATATCTCGATAGTTTTGTTCGTATTCGCGTTTCGGTATGCCTAAGTCAGCAAGAAATTCTTTCAATTGAGACAGACCACGTGATGACCATAATTTAAACGCTATGATCATCTCATGTGTATGATAGATTGAGTCGTATAATGACCAATGCCGTAAAATATGAAAATTAATATCTTCGTCAAATTTTATATTAATACAATCCATGGACAATTTAGAAGTGTTTGTGTTCGATGAACTATTGTTATCATCGTTCGAATTGGGCGCAGGATTCTGTTGATGATTCAGACGAAGAACATGACTTTGAAGAATAATCACGATCGATTCGACCATGAAGTAATTGTTCCGTCACACCGATAATAGCGTACCTAAGAAATGAAAAACAGATTATCATTGTTAAGTGACGGGGGAGGGAAATTTCGCCTTCCTAATGGTCAGATCCGTCCCAAATATTAGAGAGTCTGTCACACTTTCTAATAAATTTATAGCCCATCTTACTACTGTTAGCAGTGGTGTAATTACTTAGTCATAGTGGAGAATCACTGGTGCCTGCAATTAAATACTCAACTAAACGTAAATAAGTTTCGTTACAACGACTAGGCTTTCTACATCTGATTGTATTTTAGTTTGATTCATTTCTTTTTAATGGCTATACTTTTTATGAAAATAAAGTATACTGCTGTAGGAGAGTATGAGCACTTCGAAAAGAGTAAAAATATCAAATACATTTGCTCTTCTACTCTAATTATTTAAATGTGAAAAAATAATCTTACCATAATTGTTCATTTGTATCTTTTGATAGTAAATAAGCTAATTCAAACATAATTAATGCTGATGAATATGAATGTTGTCGATATTTATAATAGTTCGCTAAAGCTTTATCGCGTCTTTTTAACCAATGTCGTTTTAATCTTTTTTCTCGAGCTTCACTACTTTCAATTCTCATACTAATATTATCGTCATCTTCATCGTTATCACTTTGACTATCATCATTATCATTTTCATCATCATCGTCGTATGCTTCATGAAACAATTCTTCATATTGCGGTACACGTTTTTTCTCTGCATCAATTTTCGTTGGTAAAATAAGTATACGAATTTGTTTAGCATCATAAACATTTCGATGCTCGATTGGACGTAGACTATCCAGAAGAAATAATGTTAAATTATTTTCATCATTGTGATTATTATTTTCAATTGAGTCAAGCGATAAAAAGTCATATAAATCGAGTGTTGAGCCACAATTAATAAATACAATTGATTTAATTCCACTATGAATATGTTGCATATGACCATTTTCTAAATCATATTTGTATAGTACCGGCAAACATGTATATGCTATATGTTCACATTGTAATAAATGCTGAAATATTTTCCAAGCACATAAACTATCAACATCAAGATGAACAAAGACAAGTAAACGACGTTGTTGTTTAGAAATGAATTCAAAAAATTCACGTTTTAAATCACGTATGAATACCATAGCATGTAGCTCGTAGTTTTTTTAATCTACATACAATTATGAATGAAATTTCATTCCTTTTAGATTTATTTATTGTCTAACATTTTTATTCATGATTGGATGAATTATTTAACCAATCAGATAATTAGTGTTCATATTGCTTGACAACCGTTGATACAAAAACGTTTGATATGGTTTCATGTCAATTTAGTTGCCTTCAAAGAATAAAGCACAATGACCGCTGGTTCTATTTCAACTCCATATATAATCCCATTGCGTGTTGGACAAACTCAAAAATTTTTAATTGACACAAACACATTGATTGAAATACGTAGTGATACACACGATGTAGATATTTATTATACATTAGATGGTTCTAAACCAGATGCATTTATAACCTTAACAGCACGACGTGCGACTATCGCATATAAAAAACCATTTTATATTCCACGAGAGAGAGCGTCTGCAGGCAAAGTAACAATTAAAGCTATTGCTGTATCACGGTAGGAAGTTCCGGAGGAGATTAAATTAAAAATTATCTAAACTTAAATCTATTTAGTGATGGCATTCGAGAAAGTAATGTTGTAACAAAAGTATTTGATGTTAAAATTGTTCCAACAGATCATGTACGATCGGACGAATACGAAAATAGATATCTACATGAACTACAACAAGAACGACAGGTAATTAGAAGATCTCTTACGCAAGAGAGAATAAAAAGACAAAGACATTTTATAATCCATATCAACTAGTAATAAGTAGAAGGAAAAATTGATGATACGCTAAAGAAAATCTAATATAGACGTAGTAGTTTACTTGCTCTAAGGATTAGCTCGTTTCATTGGCTGTACCAGATAAATGCCTTATTTAGTAGCACATGTAAAATAACGCATGTTTCAATATAGTAGTTCGCAAGAATATTGATATGTTATAGTCTTTAAAAAAAACACTTATATTTTTAGGGGAGCTGTTGTGTTAGAACGCTGAGTGATGGACAGATTTTTTGATTGAAATTGAGCTAATAAAAAGAACCGAATAGTATAAAATTCTGGTCAAGTCACTTCGACAAATACAAATCTTAGGATATCTTTTATATTTAATCATATTTATGACGAATATGAAATACCTTCAACCGATATATTATATTACAAACTTGACTTTGTTTAATAGGATTTGATGGCACAAATTCAAAATGAAAATGAACGAATGCATCAAAATTTATCTGGTATCAAATAGAACAAAATTCGTTTTTTTTTATTAATCAAATTTCTCTCTAGAATCATTGCGTCGTTCAGCAATAGATTCATTCGTACAAGAAAATCCATCTCCTTATCGACACCCATACCCCTCAACACCATCAACTCATCTTCCACAGCAAGCCAATGTTTTAAGGTTTTATATCTAAGAAAACAAAACACTCAAAAACAAATAAATTTATTCTAGATGTGCACATTGCTATGCACCGAAAACCACTGATTCATATACAAGATTTTGCACAGAATGTGGTTTACCATGGCAAAAACTAACCAACAATCCACCGGAGCCTAATTCAGTAATTTTGACAGATTGATAAATTTTAATTTCAGTTTTTTCTCTCTCAGACTAAAATATGTTCAAATTGTAAATCTACAATTCCGTTTAATTCTAATTCATGTGTTGTATGCGAAACACGAGCGCCAATAGAGCCACAACAGCGTCCGACGAGCAAAACTCAGGTTTTTAAAAATTTAGAAATCTCTTGCTAAAGAATTTAAAATTAAAAACTTTTCTTCAGGCAACAGTTTTATGTCCACACTGTAAATTAGCGAATCCAACACATTTACGAACATGTTATATTTGCGAATGTGCATTACTACCAACAACGACACCACCGGTTGGGAAACGTTTTCTTTTTCATTATTTTACTTTTATTATTATAATTTTCCGTAGGAAAAACGAAGTGTAGTGTCCGTTCCAACAATACCGAAACCAGCAGAGAATAGAACAATGATGACTTGTTCGAAATGTTTGCGTTTGAATAACCCGGAAGCTCGTTTTTGTGATTGGTGTGGTGCATATCCGGAGCAGCCGCTTACGCCAGTACAATGTACTAAATGCCACGCTAATAATGATCCATGTGCAAAATTTTGTTCAACATGCGGATGCGTTATTGAACCTCCATTGCGCATTGTTGATACACGTCTTAGAAATGATTCAAATCTTTCATCTTCGTCAATGATTGCGAGTGTAAATAACATTGAATGAAATCTAAAAAAATGCTTGTTTTTGTTTGCCTCTATATATAGACGTTAACACGTCAGTCGGCTAGTCCAGTATGGCTTAATGCAAGTACAGCATTGACTCGTTATCAGCAGCCGTCATCGACGAGAAAACATGAGGCTGCAACGCAGACCTATGGCATTTATTATCCAAGTGCAAAAGATATCGACCTGATAATTACACAAAATAAAAAACTATTAGATGAACAAGAATTGAAAGAATATCGTCCCGTATTAACATCGACTAGTCCTGGAAAGGGATATTGGCGACAACAATTAGATCATGTTGCAGCGCATCTAAGAGCCTATGCAGTCAATCAGCCAGATTTTCAAGCATTGATTGGTAAGATTTCATTGCTGTTAAAACTAGTAGCAGTTTACACATGAAGTCATTTAGAATTGAGATCATGATCGGCTTCTAAAAGAAAAGAATCGATCAAGTGCTCTAGCATATCGATATTCTTTTGTTGAAGTTTAATATGATTATGTACTTGAAATAATAAAGCAAACGTTTCTTTTTGCGAAACTGAAGCCCTTTATCGTCGATTTAAAATAGAAGGTCAAGTTTTCTCACTTGACAACTTGAGCAGTATCTTTTCCACATGTTTAAGAAGTGCTCAGCGGATTACAAAAGAAATTTAATTCGTAATATTTTTATACTTAACAATGATTGTGACTTGAATTTTTTCGAGAAAATGATTTATGAATGTATGTGTTTCTTATATCAACCCGCTAGTCTTATCTTGCCTTGATGGAAAGAAAGAAAATACTATTGAAATTTCCAGTGAAGTACTCTCGTTCGGCATGTTTCAGGGTCATTAGGTTGAAGCCAAGAGTTGCTGAAAAACTTCTAAATGGAGCAAATCAGACATGCTGTTTTTCGTGAATCTAAACAATAGAGTGCGTCTTTCTTTTCAAGAATTGTCGAAGCCTAAATAAAAATTTTCAACTCACCATGTGTCATAATGTTAGGAATAAATTATCTCAGAATATCATTTTGATTTGTATACATTCATCTTTAGGCGAACCTCGTTTGGGTAAAATGATTCATGCAACTGTTCATGAAAATGAATATCAAGTAACTGTTCAAGCAGTATTTCAAAAGCCACAAAATCTCGCTCAATCAGCCTTCTTTCACAATGAAACAAATGATTATGATCCAACGCGCACTGGAAGAAGTTCAGCGTTTTCAAATTCCTTTGATTCTGACAGTAAGTTTTTACTTTAAAAGTGTTCTGGAAGAAAATTTTCTTTTTTTTGTGTTGCCTAGGCGAATATTCGAGAGAACAACCACACAAAACAAAAGTTAAACATCATGGCAAAAAACGACCAAAATCAGCTAATCTGCCTAAAACTGATAGTGTAAGCGTGCAAACTTTTATTAGCAACAATTTTTTCATTGGTTTGTTATTTTTTTTCTAACAGCCAAAATATGCATTAATCGAGCTGCTTGAGAAAAAAAGTAGTGAATACAATAAAAAATCATCACATAGAATTGACGTATTGGACGAAGTGCAACGATTACTGAATAAAAATGCGAATCCCAATACGAAAAATAAGGATGGTTATAGTGCTCTACATTTGGCTGTGATAAATGGACATCATGAATGTATAGAAACACTTATCAAAGATGGAGGAGCTAAAATAGACCAAAGAGGGCCGTAAGTTACTGTTTTGCTACAACTCACATCGTTTGCTTCCCACGAAAGTATCGCGTGTCGAAGTTAGCGTTTTCTAGTTTAACCGGTCTTCATAATAATCGAATTTAAAGGTCATTGGATGAGTTTCCCTAGAGATTGTGATGGAGGCTAACGCCCTGGATTTAATACAAGAGGATGGGTGGATATAAGACAGAGTGTTTCCCTGACAACCGATGTTATACCGTGGAAAAACTTCTTTTAATTTGGCTTTGCATTCCTTCAAATTAAAAAATATATGTTTTGTTTAGAATCATTTTTGAAACGAAAGAATAGTAGTTCTCAAGATAAAATTTATAAAAGTTCCATATTTATCGAGTATGTCCGGCTGAAGGACTAACTTTTTCGCTATGCTTGCGTTCTAATTTCGAACATTTCTATGTTTAAAGATATTTCATAGATCTCAAAATGAACTCAGTAGAAAAAGAGCAAGAAATTCACCCTAAATCCATCGTGCACTAAGGCTAAAAAAGATATTTGATTTCTATATGTTTTTGCTAATGACGTTGATCTAACCAATTCTTCAAATAAAACTAAGTAAACGATATAAACCTATCCTTCAACACAGCTGAATGAGTTTTAGAGTCATCGAATTTTGTTCTCAGGTTATAACTTTTTTTCATCGAACCTATAACTTTTTTTTCTAGACGAGGCAATACAGCATTACATGAATGTTGCTTATTGGAAGCTGATGGCGCGGAACCATTAAGAATTCTTCTCAAGTAGGTTTGATTTGAATGGAAAACTAAAAGATAAATTGAATTTCTGTAAAGGCATGGAGGCGATCCAGCATGGTTGAACGATAAAAAGGAAAGTGTGGTTGACCTAGCAACAAGAAAAAATCATCAAGAATTACTGCAAGTTTTTGTAAAGTATCATGGTGATAAAATGATTCAAGAACAAACGAAAAGCTATTACGATGATCGTGCTCGAACAAAACCTGTTTATGGTTATCGTTCATCAGAAAAATCGTAACACGAGAAAAGAAGACAAAAGGTTTCTCTTTAGGACAAGTTCATAGTTTATGGGTGGTTTTCTTAGCTTTTCGACCTTTTTATTTTATTGTATTGTATTTTCTAGCTATTGAACATTCTGTGATTTTGATTCTCTTTGTTCTGATAAAATATTTTACTGGGAATTAACAAAAACTAATAAATAAAAGTCAAATAAAATAATGTAAAAAATCATAATCTTGATAATGCAAGTGAACATTGATTTGTTCAATATGAAGTACAACAAGGATCGAATAAGTCAAGCGCGGAATTAAAATGCAATATTTTCAATTCTAAGAGACAAAAACAATCTGAGCAGCTTTCAGTATAGCTGTGTTATGATTTGTATAAAATTGCTTTACATCGCGTATTGCAGTTCCGGCATAGTTAGAATCTGACCGGACCAGGAAAATCTAAAGCAAAAGTCGCATATCTCGTAGATTCGAAGAGCCTATCAAAATGAATTTAACACGAGTTTATAGGGAAAATTATAGCTGTGAAGTGAGTCCGGATTAGAGCCCGTCGGGTCCAATAATTTTTCAATTCGGACCCGGAAAAAGAAATACGTGTGGTTTCATCATTTTTAAAGATATTGCACTGTTCCAACATGTATCTTGTAGAGAAATGATTCCTCTATCAGCNAGCTTTTTTAAAATGATGAAACCACACGTATTTCTTTTTCCGGGTCCGAATTGAAAAATTATTGGACCCGACGGGCTCTAGTCCGGATGGAAATCGATTCACATGCCATCTAGTTGTCGTTTTACAGTGGGATTTTAGTCAAAGGTTCTTTCATTTAAATTAAAAAAGCTCGATATTTTCATATGTTATCCTTGACGAGCAATCAATCAAAATCAATCGTGTTCATGATGGATGATAAGTAACAATTTTATTCTTCATCTTTAAGCGCTAAATTCGACATGTCAACGTAATAATAAAGATTTACTCGTATTTCGATAAATAACAAAACTACTTCGACATACCATTTAACCAACAAGTAAATGTTTCGGTTTTAAATCGATTAACATACTTGTCTTCTTAGAAAATGCAATCTCTATAATTAACTGAAGAGAATAAATGAACCTCTTTTTTATAGAATTCATATAAGACGTGATCATAAAACTTGCATTGAATATCACTATCACTCCCGTCTTATATATTGATAATCTATGTTATTGTATATTTAAGTGAATATCACTTGAGAAAGTATCGAATAAGAATCTCGCTTAAAAATTCAATTTTCACTCAAAGAATTATATAATCTTCTTAAACGATCATAGTTTTAAGTGTCACGATATTGTTCCTATTGTTGCTCTTTTCTCTTGTTCATCTTATCGTCATCATTTGTGTATTGGACGACACAACATTTGAATTATATATTTACTTTTTTTCCTCTCTTTCGCAGAGAACATCTAAATGGACAATTCATAATGTCTATGCATTCGTTTAACTTCGCGCCTTTCTTCTTCTTGTTTTAATGTCACTCTGAAAGAGAATGTGAAGGTGTACATAAAGGGAACCGTTTCTGTCGCTTCACTGTTCTTGGTGGTTGGTAGCTGTATGTGTTTAGTAGGACGCGAAGCCAGTCGAACGTTTATCTAAAGTGTTTGTCTGAACCACTTGCATTAAATAGTGATTTGCAATGTTTTAGTCTCAACGTATTCGGTTCATTCAAACGAGTACCATCAACAACAGGCACATAAAATTTTATTTCTCTCTTCATTTTTTTTTGTTTGCATACAGTCTCTTTTTTTTGTTGTACACATACATCTTTTCTTATATGTTGTTTTGATTTGTTTACTGAGAATACGAAGTAAAAAGAAAAAGAGAGAATGAATCAAGTAAGATGTTCGTTATTGTCAAGGTTGACTATATTTATTTTCTTTGAGGTTTTTGACAATCATGATCAATATATTGAATTAATAAAACAAACAGATAGAGTAACTGAAGTCGGTCATACCGAAGAAATGCTTGTTGCCGATCAACACTCATCATCGCCATCAGTATGAAAAAATAAAAAATTATTTATTTCAAAAAAACAAAAACGTTTACTTTCGTTTTCTATCCGTATAAGATTATCGATGAACAATTGAGAGAATTAGACGCAATCGTTCTAAATACAAGCATCATGGAACCATCGGCAAGACAAAATCCTATCAGACCACAACCACTGCGACCAAATCCTTCGTTGCAAAGAAGTCAAAGTGTGTCATTTACAACATCTATCAATGTTAAAGTATGAATTCGATTTTTTTTCCGACTAGCTTTAGTATTTTATTGTAGAATCTACTTTCGTATCAAGATGTGATGAATGCAATTGAACGCGAATTTCATTTACGTACCGGACAAGAACGTGAAATTATCATGAAATTATGGTTAAAAGGACAAACGATGTTTTCAATTCTACAACGTTTTAGATATTTACTGCAAGATCTGAATATAGACGATACAGACTTTACCGAAGGTTTAAAGGTTCGTGTGCAATAATTTACCGATAGAGAACTGAATGATTCGAACTGCTCGTGTGCAAAAATAAGTTATTTTAGGAAATCATTTCTGTTCATGTAGATTTTATGACGTTTGACTCTTTGAATAATCAAACAAGGTCGTTCATTTTTATTGAGTTCGACTACTAAGATATGCTAAACTTAAATTTTTTTTAAGAAAATGAATAATGCAAAGATGAATACTCAACAATCGCATATCTTATAAATAATTTCTCTATGAATCCTGACATATGATAGTTTTCATCATAAATAAATGGATTCTTTAGTGCATTTGCAATGTTAGTTCACGTGCGTTTGAAGTATCTAACTAATTTATGGTTGTGAGAACAAGATCTAATTTCATGTCTGTGTATTCTTCATTTTGATTATTGAATTCGTTCAGTACATTCGTAAGATTTCTTTCCCGCACGACATGCATAGCGTGTCCTCTAAGTATGTTGGTAGTATGTTATTGTATATCGATTACATTGGAATCGCTAAAGATGGAATTTCACACTTGAAATAGTCTAGTTTTTACTGTCTAGAGTTTTATTTTTAGACGATAAATAAAATTCGAATCCTTCTGTTTGTTTGTAGAAAATTCGTGAATTGATAAATTATGCTCATCGTGATGTACATTATCTTCGTGAAAAAACGTCTATGTTTGAAAATCAAAATCGTTTTCTTGACGATGAATTTCGACGACAATTGGATAAAATTGTTCAACAAAAAAATGATCAAATAAACGGATTAATTCGTATTATTGATCAAACAAGTTCACAATCGACTCAAATAAAAACTTCTATTAGTCATGAAAATCAGGCATCAGGTAAATACATCTATGCAGGCACTGTTTGTTATAAAAGTAAAATAATATAAGAATAATAGACGTCAGTATCTTATTAATAGAAAAATAATCAACATGTTTCACTTGTTTTTCTTCTTCTTCTTTTGTTTGAAACCTTCGGAGGTCAACAAATGGATTCGATATGAAAATGAGATGAAAACATGTGTATAGAGGCAGTTGCTATTATAATGAAGAATTCAAAGTCTCGCGTAGATCTAAATTTTAACCAAGGTATGAAAATAAGTTTAACTTCATAAATCTTGTCTTCTGTTGTCAAAGTAGCTTTAATGAAATTAAAATTGCGTCTATAGTTTACAAAATTTCTCATGCTTCTCTTTGCAATTTCAAGCGCAAAAAATTTACACTAAAATTGAAAAGAAAAAAACAGAAGTAATACTCTCGTTATTTCTCACCGAAGGTCGTCACTAGTAGACTCGTTGATAATCATCAAGCGGCGGATTAGAAACACAAACTGTATTCGATGTATTTGCGTCTCGCGGTGTTATTCCGTGATTCTTACTATTTTTAATCTCATCTTTACATTTCTTGTTATTCAGTTTATAGTAGGAATGTAAAAAGCTCACTGAAAAAGGGAACAACATAGCCTCAAGAGCAGTTTTGTGGCTATTAAAAAAAATATTCTATTTTTTGCTAATGTTGTTATTTGTTTTTTTCTTGTTTCATTCTCTCCTTCTTACGGGAAATATAATGGGATATATGTCAAAATGTTTGAGGTGTCAGAAACTTTTTATTTTTCATTTCGGATAATTTGGTCACAGAAAAGCTGAAAGACAAAAGGTATTGAATATCGATGCATTCAATTTTGTTTTGGTTTAAAATGAAAATTGTCAGAAGTAAAGAAAAAAAAGTAAAGCTCGTTCTTATTGTCAAACGACAGTTTTTTCAAGATACCAATGTAATATTGTCAGACGATTGAGATTGAGAAATAAAATATGTAAAGAATTAAATCAAATAATAAAAGCCTTGAGACATAATCGAAAAAAAAATCGTAGAGGCTTCAATTGGTGTACATTCGAAGATCAATCTTTTTCTTTTGTTAGGATTATTTATTTAGGGAACTGAACAAAATCGTGAACTTTTTTAATAATTAAAATCCTTTCGAAATCTACAATTATTTGAACTGAAAGGTATCTGATCGAGTTTGCAATCCAAGTTCGATTAGATTAATCATGTTGAACTTTCGTCACGGTATATTTTGATTGATTAGGAAAGAATGAAGAGAAAGGCATATGCAAGATTTCGTTTACGAACAGTAATGAAAAGAAATCTTCAATAAACTTCGCTAATGATCATCCAAGAAGTTTACTATTAATATTTGACGACACTTAATCTTGATGGTTTTCAGTCAGAGTTGTATGGGAATCAAAATCGAAATCATTTCCTAGAAACCGAAATCAAATTAAACTCGCCTAACAAAGCGGCGCATTTCTGTAACTTGTGTCTGAAAGAAAACTATTGCATTTTGCTCTTAGATTTTTGTTTTAATCTCTACGACAAGGTTTGCATACGGACTGACCTTAATGAAAACAAGAGTTTGAACTTGTAATTTTCTAAAATATGTTTATGAGAAAAGCGTAAGAGTTATGAAGCTGAAATTCAAAACTAATCATCCGCAGGAAGACTGTTGCAAATCAACCAGCTATCCGAATCTCTTGATTTTTTATCTAAGTGTTGTTTCAACTAAATTCAAAATAAATTTTCTCTATACTAATTTTAGCAAGTGAAGAATTATCGAAAAAATTTCTTCAACAAAATGTTGAATTACAACGTGAAATTGAGACGTTTCATGTTAAACTTGAGCACATAGTTACACTCATAAATACAAAACTAGATCGAGAAAAAACAACATCAAGGATATCTTCTGTATCTATGCTTCAAACAGCTTTCGAACAAATGCAACAAACAGAAATGAAATTACTGGAACTAAAATTGCGCTCAGTATCACAACAAGAAGAAAATGATCTTCTAAAATATTTGGTAAGTCTTAAAATTTACAAGGAAATATAAAGCAGAATTTTTTCTTTTCGCCACAAGATGGAAAAGTCACAAAATATATCAGATATTGAACACTCACAATTATTCGCTATTATTAAACAACGTTCGCTTGAGCGTGAAATCGATCTTGTTCGTCAAGAACTTGAAATAACAGAGAAAAAAACAGTTGAATTCGAACAAAAAGTAAAATCATGCTTGTCTTGTTTTCGCTAAGATTCATTGACGAAATTTTAGTTTGAACATTCCGACGAAACATTTCGATTTTTTGTCGAAACTTTAAAATTAAAATGTGACGTTTTACGTAAACATATTGTTACATGTAGTCAACGATTAGACGAAATGAATCAACTGAATCTTTTAAAATTACAACATGAAAGTCAAATAATAAAGTAAATTGTCAGCTGTTATTGTGAAATTTTCTAAAAATAAACTTTCCTATAGAAGTAAAGCCCAACAAGAAGAATCCAGTGCCAAAGTACGCATAATAAAAAGTTCAATGCATTTATTTGTAATCTAATTTTCTTTTGGCTTATCTAGAAAAGAACAGTGGAAATCGAAAACGAATTATTACAATTACGTGAACGTTACAACGAATTAGCTGAACATTCAAACGCACTTCAATCCGAATTAACGAATACGCGCAAACAATTAAATGAAAAAGAAAAGGTGAAATAGTATATGAATTATTTTAGCTTATTTTCAATAGAATATATTGTTGCATGTCTAAAAAGTTTAGAATAAATAGCGTAACCTAAAATCGATAAAATTAGCCAACTTCCTATAATCACTAACATCAATTATAACTTGGCGTGTATATTTTAATCCCGTATAGATTTAACTAGAAGTTGTTTCCACCTAGTGCGTGATTCTATCGCAATGTTTCTTTTTGTGTACTCAAAAAGTGAGTACACTCTAGAATCGGCCAGTGTGTCCGTCCGTCCGTAGGCACGATAACTTTCGAAACGAGAGTCAGATCGTGATGAAATTTTCCACACAGTTCAATCTCATGCATATCTCGGTCGAGTTCGAAGATGGGAAGAATCCGTCAAGAAATGACTGAGTTATCGAAAAAATTGTCATTTTGACCAGACCATTCCTGAGGAGGGGTACAGGGATTTTTTTCAAAAAACAAATTTTTCTCAGAATTATTCACAACATATATAAATCGACTCAATTTTTAACGCTGATTCCGAATCTGATATTAGTTTTGAATTAAATCGTAGGTTTCTAACGAAATATCGCCTAAAAACGTCTCAAAATGCACAAAAACTGCATCCAGAAATCAAATTGCCTAGTTTCTCATGATAATTTTGGTGTTCAGACATTCTAGAATGACTCATATGTCTCATACTCTTTTTGCAGTACACATAACTCTCGGATGAAATCCGAAGTTTCCACATTTATTTTTACTGGAGATTATATCCACGAGGAGATCCTATGGCATTGTCGTGTTTCTATGATCTTAACTAAGACAACGGTCTATCTTCCTATGATATTCCAAAAAGAAATCACTTCATTTTCAGAAGCTTAAAACCAAATTGACGATATTGGAAGTTTGATAATATCTATGACGATAAGTCAAAATCGATATACAACGAAATGGTCGAAAATTTAATAATACGATAGTTTAGATTAAGCAAAAATAAATAAATTAATTCATGCTTTGAAAATCAGACCTAAGTGATATTGCAGACAATCGGGAAAAAATTTAAAAAAGGGGTGTGTTAAAATAAGGATGCATGTGAACTGTTAAAACCTATTTATTTCGTGTAGCTACTGAACCATCTCATAATTCAAATTTCGTTTGAAGTGTTAAAACTTTGTTGTTGCAATTCTTAAGTGACCTTGAGCACTAACATTAATTTGTAAGAGCGTGTATCGAAATCTTGCTTCTTGGAACTTTTTGATATGAATCAGTAAAGTTTCAAAGTAGCGATTTCATCATACAAATGACTCGACTACTATCACTTAGTTTGTAGTAACTGAAAAATGAAAACGGTTACATTGTAGATGACGCAATCATGTCGTATGACTTAACATAACCATTTTTTATATTCATACGGCCAGTTTTCGATTTCATTCTATTTGATCGAGACCCACCAAAAATACTCGAGTGTACGAAGATGTTCGCCATTGAGGAGTTTTCAGCTTCTTTTTTGTTTTGTTTTATTACAATCTATAAGTATTCGATTGCAATTAATTTTCTATTGCACAAGGCCATCTTTTTCTCTTCTTCCAATTTTTTCCAATCAGTCCTCATGTATTGACACAATTCTTATTCTTCTAGCTATTAATACAAAATCCTTGAGAATTTTCACCAAGAACCGTTTCTATTATCTAGTAACAAATATCCTCGGGTAACCACTATTTCCTATGTATATCTCAGAATACATTAGACACAATTTGATCTTTCACTATTCAGAGTACGATCTAACAATAGCTAAATTTTTTTCTTCGCCTAAGTGCTATTCATTCTAAATAATTGAAATGAATATTTTTCTTTAATCTACATTCGAAGTGTTCAATTCTCTAACAATGTTATTTCTGTCTGATTATATAACATCGTACAATTGACATCGTTCGAACATGAAAAAGAAATCTTTTAATCCTCTCGAAAGTTCAATTCAATGAAACATAAATAACGATATGTCGCCTTTAGCAAAAACAATTACGTCTCTGTCTCAAGGATAGACAGTAGAATTTAATTCTAATTCGACTACCTGACCCCATGTGATTGTCTGATGGAAAAAAGGTCTTTTTATACGTATTAAATGATTTAATCAATTTTTAGCTTGAATCAAGTTTAAGTACGGATTTGGAACAGGAACGTCGACGTGCCGATGTAATCGAAAGCGAATTTAAATCTTTAAAAGTAAAATATGAAGATGTCTGCGAACGTATTCGCGCAGCAACACATCAATTAGATCATGTACAGGTCGCACTTGAACAAACATCACGTCGCTGCGAACAATTAGAAAAAGAAAAGGTAAAGAACAACAAAATATTCATTCGTTTGCATATCGCCTACATATTATTCTATGATTCGACTAGTTCAGCTACGCAAAAAATTGGTATTAATTTATATGATTTCTTTCTTTCTTCTTCGGATTGTTGTCTTTTTCTATCACGTTGTAATATGAAATTCTTCGACAAACTATTCATGAGCACTTTTCTGCACTTACTCGGTTTTCCTCTCTCATTCTGTCTTGAGACAACCAATTAAGAATAGTGAATTATTTATGTTTAAACACTGTTTGCATCGTCTCGTCTTTATTTTCTAGTCGGAAATCAATGTTCAATCAGAATATCTTACAAAAAATGTTGTCAATGTAACAGCGAAGTATAAGGATAGACTAAATACGATTAAAGCTCGTTTGTAAGTTCTGTTTCAGTACGAGAAAACAAATGAAAGGAAATGCTTTTTTATATTTATGATTATAGAGAACAAACTGACCGTGAAAAACGTGAACTACTGTTTCGTAACGAACAATTTCATATTGATATTGAACGTCTGAAAGACGAATTAATGCATCAAAAAGAAGTTGCATATGAAAAAGACAAAATGATTCAAGATACACAATTTAAAAATCGAGAAATTGTTCTTCAACGACAAGCAATAGAAGAAAGAATATCAAATGAACATAAAAGATTGAATGAACTTATTGAGAAGTATGCCAATAAATTCGTATATTTTGCTACGATTTAAAAACCTGTTCATCTCTGATTGACAGTTTAGTTCCATTTTATTTATTTCCAAATGTCAGCCATATGTAGAACTTAGAGCGGCACCGAAACGAATCAAGGTTTTTCTTGTTACAGCCGTGTCGTACTTGAACAATTGAACTGATTGATCAAAGCACGAACTGATGCTTCTACCCACGTAGATTTCTAATTATACCCGATAAATCTTTCAATCAGAATATAACTTTTCACGAACGTATTCTCAGACTGCAACGTAATGAATAGAGCTATGCAAAATCAATCTCGAGACCTCTATATTTCTGAGTATAGACCACGGGAGCAGTTTCAAGGAGGATTGTAAATGTGGGACAAAGAAATTTTGTAACATTTTTCTTCAAGTATGCATAGACAGTAGAACAGCCAGAATCACCGGAACAGGGAAAGGGCGGTCCAGGACATTTCTAGTAATGAACGAAACTCACTATGCAGAGTGTGGGTTTGAGTATTTCTCATCTCAGTCATTTTTCTTGTCTTCAATAGTGAACGAGATGAGCTGAATTTGGAATAAAGACTAAGTTGCTTCTCGATATTTACATTTATTGATTTATTCAATTTCTATTAGAAATTCTCATCTTGAAGAAGAATTGGATCGTTTTCGGCGAATTCAACTTTCTGAGAATACAATTGTTCGACAGTAAAAACATTATCTATTCTTCATACAACAGCTTCCTATAATATCATTTTTGCTTATTTTTAGTGTGGAAGTTTCTCATGACTCATTAAAGAATATTGAAGAATTAAAGTCACAAGTAAGCCATTTGGCATAGGCAAAAAATATTTCGCATTGAAAATAATTTATTTTATTTAGATCGACGAATTTGAACAACGTTTTATAGAAGAAAAAGCTTCTAAAGAATCACTACAAGTTCAAATGAAAATCCTCGAAGAAGAAAATACTGATCTTCGAGATATTATGAGTCAAATGAGAAGACGATCACAATATGGTCGAAAGTAATTCTCAAATATTATTTTTTTCCTACTCACTAATAAGCATAATCAGAATTCACAAAAAACTAAAGACATACAAAATCACGGGCACAAAAGAAAACATCTAAATAATGATGTGTTCTAGATGATATTTCAGGCTGGCTGATATATATATATATATATATATATAGGTCATTGAAGTACTTGATTATATACATACAGACGCGCTCTAGAAAACCTAAATCATCGATTTATCGACAAAACAATGCGTAAATACTATGCGTTTTAGATAGCATAAAATAAACAATTGTCTACATAAAGAAAGATCTCGATGGCATTTCTTTACTTCGATAGAATAATTTGATTGAAGATTAAAATATGTTTCTTCTATAGCAAAATAGTAGTAAACAAACGACTACAGACACATAAGGAGTACGATTGGATGCCAACGAAAAAAAACACACGATAGTTTTCTCTGCATGCAGCCTAAACAAATGCTGAAATACTAAGTTTAGATTATCTGGAAAGCTTATCTTTGGAAGTCTAATCATAATTTTCATTTCCTTGTGTTCTTGTTAGAAACAATATGTTCTAATTGATTGACTATTCGGATGTTTACATGCGATCGGCCAAGGAGAAAGAATTGAAAACAAATCTTGTAGAATAATGTTCGTACCCGTTATACATGCAAATGATAATGCCACATTCATCGAATGTTTTCTTCAAATCGTAGTCGTAACAAAATTCTATAATGGGTAGCTGCTAGTGGCTGATTAAATAAATGAACAAGCGGCTGTTGAAACTTTTCTTTAGATGTCAAGCGATATTAGCATGAGACTAAATTAATTAAGATGACAGCTCAGCTGCCTGAGTATCGTAGGTTATTATGACCGAGTCCAAACGAACTGCTTCAACTAGATTTAAATAACATATAGAACATAAGTTTTCCATATGTTTTGTTCATATTATATCTCAATAAAGAAATATCACAGATGGTCTGTAAATCTATGAAGTATTTCAATGAAACAAGCTGAGTGATATTTGTTTGTACAACATTTTGGGAGAAAGAAAGAAAGAAAGAAATAGAACAGTTCTTGATTAGAAAAATAGTTCGTTAGAAATACATAGGAATATGCTTCTTCAAACAATAAAATTGATTTCATCGACAATATCGGAATGCTAATAATTTGTATAACAGCCGTCGAACTAAAGAATAATCATTTTCGTTTGCCTTATTGTATATTAATTCTTATTTCTATGCAGTTTCCTATTCTGTATAAATGATCATTAAGGGGTAAAGTAGATAATGTTGTTAATAAATGCCAAAAGACAAGCGTCACAATCTATCTCATTAGTTGTTTCTAGTAATCTGACAATCGTATCTATATTGGTCTGTTTACTGACTTCCTATCCAAACGTCATTCATGTCAATCGTCGAAGCATGAGTTTATTTTGAGACCATTTTTCATGTTTGAAATGGCACTCTGAAAGCATAAAAATAGTCTTATTAGTAGAAGCGAAGTCTCTCGCTGTTAATTTGTGGATGATGTATTGAACAAAACATCAGGCATTATCAAGAAGCGTCCAATAACAAGAGGACTTCATTTTACATTAGGTATCAATCTTTTTCAAAAAAATTTACGTGAAGCAAGAGGGGTGAAAGAACTTTCAAGGCTATTGAATTAGAGTTTTATTTGAGCCTCACTCAATTAGATTTTCTTTTTTTCCTTGTTACATTCAAGGCTGTGAAAGCAAAAAAAACGAAAAGAAAACTTTACGGCACTCAAAAACATTTTCTGATTCAATATTAAACTGATGTAATCTTTTGTATTTTTAGAGAAGAAAAAGATCGCAATGACGAGATTCATCAGTTAATTGCACGAGCAGAATTAAATGCTCGTCAATATATGACAAATCTTAATCTAACCAGTTTCACGTCGCACTCCAACGTAGTGAAGACAGTACCACTATCTTCAACAGCAAAAGTTTGGTAATAATTTTTGTACAAAATTATACATATCTATGTGCAATTTTAATCTAAGAAAAAGAACTATTTTAGAGACACTTTGTTGTGAATTATGATTGTCTTTTTCTCTTGCTTATATAATGTACGTGAAAAGAATTGATTTGTAATTTTTGTTATTAAATGTTCCATATAATTAGACTAAATAAACAATTGTGATTTTGAAGCCAACGATGCAAACCACATGGAACTCGTACAACTGATCACATTGCCATGGCAATGAAAGCTCGTGAACATAAGAGGACACTCTTCTTCTATTTTTGCATCTGTTGGACTTCTATTTATTAGCCAGCGTATGTACATAACACTCTCGACAGGGTTCATAGGTACAATTCAGATCAAACCAACCAACGAATGGCCAAAATAAATTCTGACGTAGCGATTTCGTTTTAAGCATAGTAAAAGATCATATAACGACGAATAAAACGCCTAGAAATTATTATTATTATTGCTTGTCAAATAAAGATTTCGAAGACAGATAAGCTGCAATTTTCTCATAAAGCGCATATGCGCGAGATTTTTTGCTAGTTCACGAGTCACATTATTACTCTTTCTTTTTTTGCGGTAATATTAATTAAACGCAAAAAGAAAATCAATATTTCATCGCGCACACACAGAATCAATACATGCAATTCTGTCGTGAGAAAATTGCATTAACATAAAAAAATAATCTCTAGGTTTCTTTGTTTTTCTCCTTCTTTATTAGCATACATGACATGAACTTCATACAAGTTACATTATGAAAAGTTCTGTTTCTTTAATAAATCTAACACACGAACTTTATTAAATGAATATTTTATCAGCTTGCTGATAAAAATAAAGAAAGGGACTCAACATTCTTTCTTTCTATTTTTATTAATGCACGATCGATATTGACATTCATGTTTCGTATTATCAATCAACTCAAGAGAATTCAATCCTCTTATTTTATAGATGTTTAAGAGAGATTAATCTATTCGTTTGAACAATCTTGATTGATTCTAAAGTATTGAAAATACTCTTTAGAAAGAAGAAAGAAAAAACTGTCTCGCTTTGTTTTCTTTTCTTTTTTTTTATAAATAGAATAAGATGCAAACTAATCCTTGTAAAGTCGAACAAAAAAAACAAAACAAAAGAAAAACAAAAACGGACAAGCAAAATGCTCTTTTTTGTTTAACATAATACATTAATCAATGCATTTTTTTTTAATGTTTTTCATTTTTTTAAAGAAAAACGCACCGATCAAACCGGACGTAGATCATGTTTGTTTTAAATTATAGTCTAACGAGAATATGGGAAAAAATGAGCCAATACAAGACACAAAAAGAAGAAGAAAAATTACGGGACGACAAACGACGAGGAGTTAGTAGAAGAACAAAAAAGCGAGAGGAGAGCCGTGCAAGTTGTGTGTGACTCGGTTTACAGGCATTGTATGTATGTATGTATGTGTATGTGTATGGGCACAATTATGGAGAAAACAAGAAGAGAAAATGACGAGCATGTATACCAACACACATCTGACAGCAAAAGAAAAGAAATAGGAAAGATGGCACGCACAGTTCGGTGGTCATATGAACAATAATAACAACAACATAAAAAAAAAGTTGAAGAAGCAGAAAACGCAAACGAATCTAGTAATACAATTGGTATTCGTAATAGAATAATGAAGAAGAAGAAGAAAACGTAAAAGAAAAATTGACAACTAGAAACCGAGGTCTCCTTCAATGGCATTAACATCGAGATCAATAGCTGCAGGATATTTGTGTGAATTCAATGTATTACTACGTGTCGTTATATTACTGTTAGATCCTGATGACATTGCTTGACTTTGAGATAAATATTGTTGATTATTAGGTTCACCAGAGCCTGTACTAAAGCCTGAATCGTACGACATATTTGATTCTTCATAGTGAAATACATGACCGGGAGGAACATCAGTGAAGTCGACTGGAGAATGAGCTGGAGAATCATAATCGCATCCGCTATCTTCATCATCAACTCCAATACAATCTTGATCAGTGCGTCTTGTTATCTACGGAAGAAAAAGAAAGAAAGAAAAAAAATGAACGGAGATGAAATGACAGTAGGATAGACAATCAAAAGATCTAGTAGTCACTCGACTCTCTACATTTATATATCTCTTTTTTATTTGATCGAGCGTGCTAATTAGTAGGTTTTCAAGTCAGATAATGTTCATTGAGAGAATTGCAATTAAAATAAAAAGAACTGAAATCTAATACATATAACATAATGAATGAAATAATCTATTTATGGAACTTTTCTTCTTCTCAATGGTAACAGTAAACAGGTGCGACTGTCAATCACCTCTCTTTCTCTCTCTCTCTCTCTTCATGTTCCTCATACAAATATACAACTCAATTTATTTATAAGACTTGTTCGGTCGTTTGGGGAAAAAAGAAACGAGACAAATTTATTTTCTACATCATGATCATTTTTTGTTAACTCATTCTGACAGATTCTATTATTGCTTGCTTTACAAATCATTCGTCTATACATATATGACATACCTTCTTTGGTGAATTGCCGTCAAAGCTGTATGTCGACTGAGTCTAAAAAAGATATAATAAAATATGATAAATGACTTGAATCAGTTATATTTCTTTCCCCTCTCTCTTTCTCTCCTGGGCACTGATTCAATGAGACAGCAGGAAAGCAACATGAAATGTCAGTATATTATATTTATATACATATATATATATATATATATGTGATGCAATCTTTCTCGCAATTCATCATAATTCATTTCGGTTTACTTATCTATCGTCTTCTCTCTCCGCTTTTTTATGTGCCTTGTCAAATCCAAAGAGAACGACAACGAGTTACATTAATGAGAATGCACAACAATAATGATGGTCACTACTACCGCTAATAAAACTTTAAATATATATGCTTGAGAACAAGAAATCTGTCAACTATTTTTTGCATGTTTTATAATAGAGAAAATCGGAAGAACACAATTTATGTGTTTGCAATTGACAAATAGGCTGATGATGGGCGTAGGTGTAATCTAAATGAATATCGAGACACTAGAGGAAAAGCTCAGACAATCAAATGATGAAGAGTACATTAGCACCTTTCAGTAACATGACAAAAAAAGAAAACGAGATGGAATAAAACGCACACATACTGAGAATCTAATAATAATGTGTGATAGAGACATACATTTTGTGTGCTTCAATGAATAGAATCGATCACACATATTCATGTGCATATATATGTATAAGAGGAAAGTGGGGTGGCTTGAGGTGTAGAATATAAACAATTGTCGTCAATAACGAACGATAATGTTATGGAAGAAAACGGAGATTGAAAAAGAAAACGAAATAGCGTATTTATGTTGACTGTTTGATGAAGCTCTAAATTCCATCAGTGTACTTCTAATTCTCTTTACTTTGTATAACATACAAATCTCAGTTGTGACGACAGAACATATATATATATATATATATACATTCATGTATATGCGTATAATGCTAAGCCTTGTACATGAAGTATTTTCTTTTACCTGTTTCATTTTAAGTAAATCTAAATATGGTCGATGATCGTCTTCGCTTGCTTTACGTTTTCGAGTGGTACTCGAACGAGTTGAAATAGTTGTTGTTAATTTGTTATTAGTTCTAATTGATTCATCCGATATGAATGAATCGATTTTAACACCGGCTGATGCAGCAGCAGCCCGAGTTAATGGTGGCACCGGTTTTTGTTGTATTATTGGTGTATCTAATGAAAGTTTTTCTGTGAACGATGGGATAACTTCAGTGTTGTTGTTGTTGTTATTATTATTATTATTATTTGAGTTTTTCAATTTAGAACGTGATCGTAAATTATATGGATTTTGTGTTGAATCTGATGATGGTGGACGTACAGCAACCGGTTTAATAACTTGTACACATTGTTCATTATTATTATTATTATTATTATTATTTATAGCAGATGATATTTCTTTATTTATATTAGATGTTGAACGTGTCATTTGACGACGAGGCGATGGAGTTTTTTTCATTGTTTCATTGAAATCATTTGCTGTTGTTGTTGTTGTTGTTGTCGTTGAACGATGATGATTACTCATCTGAATAGAAAAAAAAAGTAAATAGATTACATTTATAATAAAAAAAAGAATTTCCTATATTAAAGATATTATTATTGTTACTGCTATTACTTCTGTAGTTGAGAGGAGTGAATGGTAATGGTAGAGAAAGAAAGAGAGAGAAGGAGAGAAAGAGGGAGGAAAAAGAAGAAGAAAAAAAAGAAAGAAAAACGAGAGAATGAGAGAAAGCATACGGAAAAAAAAGATGCAGCAGCTTTTCTATGTGTGTGTATGCGTGCACATGCTGACGTTCTCTGAGTTACATTGACCTCGATATCAATTCTACACAAGAGTGTGAATATATATATATATATATATAAATAAATAACGAGGTACACATAAAATAAAACTAAAACTATGATTAGACATTTTTCCTTTTTGTTATGTACAGGTAAGAAATAAACATCTCAAGGGTTTCGAAATAATTTAATCGCGACAATTGACTGGGAGTAAGCTCAAATATTATTTCTTTCGAACGAAAAGCTTCGCGTGGATCGAAGAAACTTTTTTTTTTTGTTCTGCCAACCTTTGTTATCGTTATATGAGTATTAGTTGTTGATATCGATCGTCGTAAATTCATTTTTGGGTTTTATTGTGAAAGAGAATGCACAGAAGATAGTACCAAAGAAAAGATTGTTGTCGTTGTTTTCTTTTTTCGAGGATAATGCGTAGTTGGATAGATGGATGAAAATAAGAAGGCAAGTAAAGACGACGACGAAAAGACCGATGTTACTTGTGTGTGTGTGTGTGCGAGCACAAACAGAACAGCTGAGCGGGTGTGGTGGATGAATTGAGAAAGAAAAAGAACGAAAGAAAGAAAAGAAGAAAAAAAAGAACGTTGCATAGCGAATGCAACGACAAATCTCTCTCTCTCTTAGTTTTTTTGGGTCGAAAAGCAATGGTAGCCGCGGACAGTTATTTGTCAATATACATATGGAACGAGCGCGCTTGCTTAAATCGACGCACAGAAAGGAAGAGAGAGAGAGAGAGAATTGGCTTCGATTCAACATTTATGCATCGTTTATGTGCTTCCTATTTCGCACTTAACTACACGATTATTATGAGGTGCTCACACAACACACACTTGAATACATACTTCGGGGGCCTATCAAAGTAGATTATTATTATTTTTTCCTTTTCTTCTCCTCTATGTATGTATATCGCTATTGTTCATTCATCTCATTTTGTGTTTTCAATGTTCATATTTTATTATCATTAAAGCTGAATGAGAAGACATTTCGAATAAAAGGATATATTAGTGCTCGTTTTTCTCTCGTACTCTAATTGAAATTCAATCATCCATTCAGTCATTATTTTCTTCGACTTTTTTTTAGTTTTTATCTTGGCTTGAAATTAAAATAAATACTGAAAAAAAAAGAAAACAAGAAAACAATCTACAAGTTCGTCTGCTTTCACTTTCAATGTCATCGCCTGCCAAGGGCACCATAGAAAAGCTTATTATCACTATAGTTTGATCGGTACAAGCTGAATGCTACTGCTGTGGACTATCACTTTTCACCAGACAGAAAACGAGAAATAACATAAAACATACACATACAGAGAGCCTAATTGATGGAGCACAGCATGACAGATAAACAGCAGTAGTAATAACGGCCATATACTGTACACACACACACACACACACACACATACATACATACATGTATATATAGGCAAAAAAAGAAAGAACAAACGATTAGACAAGTGAATGACTAGAATACAAAATACCATAAGTAGAGAAAGCTTTTAATGAAATTTTATCGGCCACTCTGTTACAGTAATCGGGTCTCGAATAGTTCCATCAAATAAAAGATCAATCCAAGCCGAAAATGTCAATTTTTCGTCTGATTGTTGATCATTAGTATTATTATTATTATTGCATATTGGTCCAAACGAAACAAAATATTTTCGTTTTATATACAAAGCAAGAACAGTTGATGGAAAAAATCGATTCGATTGTTTATTTTGATTATCTTGAATTTTATTTGAAAGTTCATTAAGCCATGTCGATGCTTGTTTGCGATAAAGAACAGAAAAAATCATGCGAGACCTATAAAAAAAGAGAAAAACTTTCTGTTTATTTTTTCTAAGCTTCATAATTCATGCAATGATAATCAAGTCATTAGTAGTTTTGTTGCTTTTCATCTATAAATAGAGACTGATTCTATAAGTAGAAACATAATCAGATATTCTTTTTATAGATACATAAGAATTATTTTGAGTTGATTAGCAGGAAATGCGCAATGGATTGAAGTCATCATCATCTTCTTCTACTCTTTTTTTTTACTTTTGTCCTCACAATAATTCTATAGTGAATATTATTTTGCCTTTCGTGTTTGAATGCTTGTCATGTGAATTTTAGCAAAAAATTTTCAGCACTTATGTTTTAACCTTGACCAAGCTATTTTATATTTATTATGAAATGACATGCATATGTTGATCAAGTTTATTCAGTGCCTATTCATGAAATATAGTTAACTAGAGTTTTGACATTAATAGAACTAGAATTTCTACTTAGAATAATGAGCCTATGGAATAATTGGTAGGAAAAAAATAAATGTCATGATAATATGTATGAAACAAATCTGTAATAATTTATACTGATAGAATACAGAGATATGAAAGTATTGCATGAGAATGCTTAATTCACACTCTGCAATGTTTGAATGTTATTAATACAAATATAAATATACTTTATTATCGGAAGCGTCTTGTACGAGAACAAAGTGGGCATTAGATAAAATATCGGAGAACAAGAACTAAAATGTTTATAGAATACACTGTAATGGCAAACAAAACCATTATAAATTTCGCATGATGTCTGCTATCAATTAATAAAAAGAAAAGTGTTTAATTATCACTGCTGGTTCCGGAGCAAAGTATACTTCTTATTTCCATTGTGGTTGTTCGAGCGACTATATTAATATAACACGTGTCCTGTTCTATTCACATCCGAATTCAGAATCTTACAAGAGTGTTGTATTATTTTATCGATGTTATCAATGTTAATATAAATGTTTCTCAAGTCAAATATAAGCTCGCTAAGTAACCTTTAGACTTGCGTGCTAAAAACATTTTTATGTTTCTAGTCATAAAACACGAATACATGAGATAGTGCATAATTTATTTTTATTTTTTTAACAGAAATTTCTCATCGATGAGTCCTCTTGAAAATTTTCTTTCAATGAAAAAATTCTTCTGCAGACTTCTCTATTATTTGTGTTTTGTTATCAGCGATTCCTCAACGCTAATGATAATATTTTGACGGAAAATAATTAACATCCATATGTTCTAGAGAAATTTCACACTGTAAAACAAATATGAGTATTATTAATTTATTATCTGGATTCAAAGTCAATAATAAAATCTGCTATCAACAGTATCGCAAAGTTTAAGCGTAATTCGAGATGAATAATGAGAAGACGAAATTCAAGATAAGGCATTATTGAGGGCTATAAAAAAATCGCGGCTCTGTTTTTATTAACAATCTTGAAATGACAGTTTCCCAGGTTAAAACCCCATAAGGAGAAAATTATCCGCGTTTTTTTTATTATTGATACAATTATGAATTTGATATGCTCTTATCTAAATCTCAAGATAATGTATATTCTATGCAACCCTTACGAAAACAATCATCTGTCTTAAGTCGATAACAACATATATACGAGTATGGTTTAAAGACAAATATTCGATAATCATACATGTTGTTCTCACAAGACCAACGGAAAGAACGAAGAGCATCGAAGTCAACATGAAATTTACCATTCAGTACTTACTCTTTAAGTGAATTAATTTCTTGGGTAAAACCTTTAATGCATGAATCTTCTGGTGTGTCCGCAATAAGAAGTATTATAATAACATTTGATGCACCCGGATTTGTGTAGCGTTGAAGAAGAGATTCATTAAATTTATAGATTTTTCCCGGGCTAAATTAAAATAAAAAAAGGTCTTAATGTCACAAGAAAGAAAAAACTAATCTTACTCTATGTTATGAGATTGTTTTGGCTTTTGATTTACGACCTCGGGCTCTAGTCGTGAATAATACATATAAAGACAGAGAAGTAGAGTTATAATCCAAAATTGATACGTATATAAATATCCCGATCTAATGAAGATTAAAAGAAAAATTATTTCAATTTTTTCGAAAAATGAAAACAACGTAACCTATGCGTCGTAATTTTCTGGATTTCGAACAAATAGAACAAATGAATAGTCGAGAACGAAAGCAAAACAATCTGTTGACACGCTTTCTGAGGGATTTCAATATGAAATTAAATCTGACTGCTTTTGCTAGCTCATAAGAAGATTGTTTTATTCTGCATATATTGGAATACACGTCTTAGATTTCATCTTCCAGAAATCCAGCAAAGAAGAAACTCATATATCGTTCTCATGACCTCGTCGCAGTCAGCCTTCTTGGTGATTGTTTAAAACTGGAGTCTTAGTTCTTCATTACTATTCGAGTAGCAGCTGTCGCATGTGATCTAACCAGACAAGCGTTGATATTCTATCAATTTTTTTTTCTTCAAGAAAAGACGATCTAAATCGTTGCCAATGTAAGTGCGAACGCTTCTCTAATATCATGTTTCACAAAATCTTCGCTGTCGAATTAGTTTTAAATGGTTGGATCGTGTTGAGGAGATCTATAGAGTCGTTTTACAACTTGTCGTATTCGAATCCATAGGATATGGATCGGGAGAACTTGAATAGTTTTGACGGTTGTTTCCAACCGAAATAAGAACTTCGTGAAACGTGAAAAAGTTTGTATGAATCAAAATCGATAAACTTATTTACAAATATCGCGGTATTTGATTGCGCTCAATCCAATAATTCCATTTATTTTTCACTTGATCCATAGTTCTTGTGAGAATGTCCTTCGAGAAAATAAAAATTTCGTCGAAATAAAAATGAAAAAACTAATTTTCTGTTCAATTTACTTGTCTCCTATCGTCGAAATCAAATAGCACTGGTAGTTTATATTTTTTGCTCTGTGGCCAACGATTGCTGACAAATAGTTTAAAGTTTTCCTTAATAGAAATCATATCTCGTTCGATCTCAATTAAAGATTGTTTATCGAATTCAATATTTGTGTTTTGTATTTCAATTGAATCTTGAAGCCACCGACGAGCAGCCAGAATCTTCGAATACAAGTACAAATATCCAATAGATTATTTGTACCATAGAAAATATTTAATCTTTTCTACTTACAACCAGTTTCTTCTCATGCTTCTGATAATATGGTGAGACGATCTCCTGAAAGGCTGCTTGTTGCGTAGATGATGAATCCAGATAGGCTATATGAGAATTATATTCTTCATATACTTGTTTAGAAAGATGCAACAATGATAATCGATATTGAGCAAATAATGTTGAATCACCAATGATTAAAAAGCAAGGCCTAAGAAAAACAAAGCATTAACATTTTCATATAAACATCGCAAATACAAGTCGATCTGATATTGTCAAAAGCTTTAGCATGTTTCCATCGGAGGGTATCGGAAGAGCGTAATTAATAATCTGTTTAAAGGGATCCGAAAATAATGTTGGTATAAAAACCAAATAGCATGGGGCAAGGATAATGGACTTCGAGTACGTTTTATCGATTAAGACATTGCGCAAACTAAGACTGAAAACATGAGATCTGCCCCACATTTCTTTGTACATGTTTAATACGAAAACAGTCAAATTGTTAAGAACGCTGTAGAATGTATGTCACGATGACATGAACAGTTCGTGATGGTGCTAACATATTTTGCAACTATTAACGTCAGCTTGCAGTTTGATTTGCACCATATGGAACTATTAATGAGCAGTTGTTGAGAACAAATATTAGAATAACTTTCAATGAAAGTTTTTCGCGATGCGAAATTTTATTTTAACTGTTCAATAGTAAATATTGGCTTCTTCTTTTCTGAAAGGCCAAGATTCGTGACTTATATTTCTGTTAACTGGCCTTGAACTGCACGAAAGAGGCGTTTGGTTCATCACTCAAAGTGATATCTTTTGTTCTCATTCAATGTTAAAAATGTTAGCGAATTACCTCTCGAAAAGCTCATTACTTTCTTCTACCGGAATTAACTATCTGGCATTGAGATTTTTCTCAAGAGCCTTACTCACTCGTGGTCGGAACAAGCTAGAAACTTACAATATCTGCAAAAAAAGAAACAATGAATTAGATCTACTTTCATAGTGAATTAAGTTTCTATCGGACACATTAGAAACTAGTAGATTTTAATGATATTCCTCAGATTTCAGCTTCAAATCGATACATTCAATAATTCTTTTTCAAGATTCAGACTGGAAGAAGTGCTTTGGAGATTCAGAAAATATAAATTCAACGCGAAAAACTAGAGTAACCAAGAAGAAAATAATGATTCATAGTATTGAAAACATTTGATCTGATTAATAAACAAGAAATTTTCATACTTATTAGAATTTGATTGACACGCAAGATGAAATACATTCGCACTTGTAATTGTCGGGAGATGTAAAAGTTGATTTGATTCAAACGTCTTTATAATATTATCAAAAGTTAATCCATTCTAAATAATAAATAATAAATAATTAACAATTCATAAATAGAAATTTACTTCGCTTACATCTTTTAGTATAAATTCAGGTTTTTTACTATCTTCTTTAAACAATAACACAGTATCTGATATTGTGGAAACTTGTTTAAGAAATGATGACAATGGAATATTTTTAATCAGAGCTTTTTAAAAAACAGAAAAAATAAATAAAAACTTTCTTTAGCTTGAAACAAAAATACATACAGGAATTAAATGAAGCACATTGTATTCTTGCCGAATATTGCAAACATGGTAGAACAAATTTAAGTGTAGGTATTTTTTGCTTGGTTATTAATAAAGCATGCACTCGATTGGATTTATTATAGGATGTAATCATTCTTAATACGTCATCATAATTTTCTAACTAAAACGTGATAATTTCAATAGTATTTGAAAATGAGCAACAAGGTTCTTTTTACTGTTGGAATATATCGTTTTATTGGTATTGATTTTCGTACGAATTCTTTTATATTTGATTCTGTAAAATGCAGACCATCAAAATGATAAACACGACCTTGACTTATTACACATAAAGCTGGCACATCCAATACACCCAATTGACGAGTTATACGGTCATCATTTGCGTTAAATTCACCAGTGCCAATGCCTATTAGCGAGAGGAAATGTTCAATTAGGAAACTAAAGAGAATACAGCGGGCATTGTGGTTATGATCAAGTCTCTAGGAGACTAAAACTGGCATTAATCGTTTTCCTATGACGAAATATGATTAGTGGGGATGACGTCAGAGGACGGAGCTCATTAGGAAGTTGTTAACGGACTTTGCAACGGAAGGAAGTCAACTCGTTCTCAGCAGAAATTTTGATATTATTGCTAAACGTCATTCTACGAATATCTTTTCTTTTTGTTTTGAAGAATTCCATCAGCATTGATGGATGAAATTAAAAATTTTTATTGAAAAAGTTCAGTATGATTACAGTACCGTAGTTGAATTGCTCTTCAATCTTTTTATGCATGATCAGCTGAGTGGCAACGGAAACTGTTAACATGAAATTTCCACTGACTGCATCATTGATTTTTAGATTATCAGAAGTGTTCATATCGTGGTGTAAGAATGTCTTTCAATTTTCCAGCGGAAAATCAGGAAAAATGAAAAATTTTGAATTTCATTAAGGAAATTTTCTTTACTTGCAATGGCTGCGGTTTCATTTCAAAAAAGCTGTTTTTTTAATGTAGAAAATTCTGTTTAAACCATTTACTTTTTCTTGAAAACGATCTTTGTGCTGAATTTTCCGTATGAAATGTCATCTCTCGCGAGAGAATCTTTAGGGTTTAATTTTAAATTCTGTACAAAAAATTGATCCGGTGATGTATTACAAGTCTCAAAAAGATAAACGTTGCCTTCTTACTGAAAATTTTATCTATAAATGGATGTACGATTCTTTTTCCTAGGCTAGGTTTTTACCAACTCATCCAGATTGACATTATTCCTAGAGTCTGAATTGTAAAACGATTATTGAGGTTTGAAAACTGCCCCACCCCGTTGCTTCACTACAGTCTTATATTAATGTTCGCACAAAAATAGCTTTGCGCATTTACGTACCAACATCGTTAAGTTGTTTTTCTAACGCTCGAAACGTTTGTAATGCTTGTCGACAATTGAAACAAAAATTAGTACTACCAAAGATTAAATAAGGTTTTTTATCACTATTCGGTAAAATATTGGCAAGAAATTCACTAAAATAATAAATCCGTAAAGAATTAAAACTTCAACATAGAAATACGATTACTGAGCATGGATAACTTTCTTTGCACCGGATGATGCTTCGTGGAAAAAATGTGATCGAAATATATCAAATGGGTCTTGAAAAGGGTGATTACTAAAACCCTGATGATTATCTTGTGATGTTGTGCCATGTTCATCGTACTGTTGACGTTTAGTCGAATCCGATAAAATCTTAAATCGATTAACAATTAGATTTATAATGCCAACAATATTTTATTTTTTTACCTCGTAAGCAGCGTTTATTTTTGTAAATTTATCATTAGCATTTGGTTCGGAATTTTTATCTGGATGCCAATGTTTAGCTAGTTTTTTGTATGCTTGTCGAATTTCTTTATCTGATGCGGTACGAGACACGCCGAGAACATCATACGGATTGAAATCATTTTGATTAGCTGATAGATAATAAAAACCAAGAACAAAACAAATAATAATATAATTGATTGAATGCATGGAAATGTTAAGACGAAAATCAATCTAGAGAGAAAATAAAAATGTTTGATGTTAACAAATATTACAACATCTTGTCAGGAAGAGTTTGTTCTGAAGAAACAACGATGTCAATCAATAACGAAATTGATCTTTATATTTCAAAATAAACAAGTTTTTTACATTCACTAGTGATAAAAATAGTCGTATAAAACAAATTCATCAACTATCTTCCATTACAGTTTTGTTTTGGGTTTTTTTCTTCTTTGGTTTTTTCTTCTTTTTAAGTTTTTGTATTTCTTGATTCCGTTTTTTAATTTGGTCGCGTTCGCTTTCACTGAGAAAATCATTATCGATATCTTTAATAAACATTTTAAAATAAACTCCACCTAACGTTCGTATTTGTCCATTATCAGACTTTTTTATTGTCTCATCATTGGTATTAAACAATCGAACAGCTTCATGAGCATATTGAAATGCACGTCGACAACCGACTATATCGAGTATAGCACTTAGAAGTTCGTCATTTTTTTCATTATTTAATAATCGCGACAGATTTTTTAAATCGCGTCGATTTGGTTTACGTTTCGAATTTGCTTCATTTTGTTTCTTTTTCTTTCGAAAATATTGATCAACATTTGTTCCAGGTGGAAAAACATATGTTAATGGATTAGTACTTTGTTGCGCTATTGGATCATCAATATGAATTATTTCAGAATTATCAGCTAATGCATTTGACATAATGGAAGAAAGATTTTCATCAGTTAACATTTTACTCCATGATTGACTTATGTGTTGAGGTTGAGGAATGGCTTTGAGAGGAATATCATTGTCACGATCGTCATCATCATTGTCACTCAACGATGAGTCTAATTCACCTTCACTTCGTTCATCATCGTCGAGTTTCGAAGGTGTATTATATCTATGACTTTTGATGCTCATCTAGAAATGAAGAAAACACTATTAAAGCAATTCATTGATTTTATGAAAAATGTAACACAAGGATATATTTCATTGGAATAAAGTGACTTAAAGTTTCGATGAACACTGTGCTTAATATTCTAATAGAAGATTCATTTTTTGAAAATCACAGATTTTTATTGGGAAAAATTCTTAGCAACCTAAACTATGCCACAAATATACTTTAAACTTATGATGTTTATCGGTGAGTCTAAAAACATTGTAGAACAATTTACTCAAAAGCTACATTTGTTAGAATATTCGACAAAAAAGTTTGCTAAGTATTTAAAATCCTCATCATGATGTACTTTGAGCATTCAACAAAGAATTCTAATCAAAGAATACTTTTCATCAGTAAACATGTGAAAATTGGAGACATCTAAAATGAACAAAGAAGTAGTAGGCACTTCAATAAATTAATGATGCTCAGTGTATCACTTTCGCAGTCATTCTAATTATTATTACTCGTCTGTTTTCGAGTAGTCAATCTCTTGACTTAGTCTTATTCGAACAGCTATTGGCATAGTTCCAATTCATAAATCTTTATATCTTCAGATCGTTGAATTTCAATTGTACGAAAAGTAAAACGAAATTTCCCCATATAATTTTGTTCTACGAGAAAAACTTTCAAAACTACATTCTTCTTTATTAGTAACCATGCAGATACATAAATTGAAATGTGTCTGTAAGACCATGTTTTCTCTCTGGACCTAATGGGACCATTTAGGATTCACTGCAACACATGAGAAATAATTAGAAATAAAAAGGAGACGAAGTCAATGAACAATGACTTCCAAAAATTCGGAATTATACATGCATATGAGAGGTTATGTATCGACTGGTGCATTCAGAGAATGCTTTTTCATTTTGAAATTTCTTTGTCAAAGGTTTTCATTCAGAGTTTTTTTGCTAGCCAATGATGAGATGCAACGAATGACGTGAATAATTGATAGGAACTGACTAAAAAAATGAAGCATGTTGGCATAGATGGCATTAGTATTCATGGAAGGAGAACTGAAGATTGCAAAGTACTCAAATTTCAGTGATGGATTTAGAGAAGGTGTGGTTGGACAGACTTTCATAGTAGACTCAGCCTTTTTTGTAATAGAATGTCTATCGTTATCTAAATAAAAGGATCAAAACTTTTATTATGAAACTGAAATTTGATCTTGAATGAAAAATAGCTTATAAAACTGTTTAAAGTTATTGTCAGATGCAAAATGCACACGAAAGAGATAAACAAGATTCTCATTTATTTATTTTTAGAAAGTCAAGAAGTTCAAATCTATGAGAAGGTCGAGAAAATCAAATAGTCGTTCATCTGTTTAGTTTAATCATTAAAATAATGAGTATGAATGTCTGTCAATTTATCAACATATCCTTAAAAAACCAGAGCCGGCTGAACTTGGTTTAGAAATGAATACTTTGTTCTATTCCATTTTCAAAGTAAGTTAATGTAAAATCAAAAATAAAATTTGATGAAATAAAACAATAGAAATAAATATGAAAATAGATACTTAATTCTATGAGAGATTGGTCAAAACACAATCAATTATACAAAAATAAAAATAATGAGAAACTAAAAGTGACAACGCTGTGTAGATTTCATATGAAAATTGGCCAAGTAATCATTTCTATTTCAATCATAGTAAACGATTCAGTCATGTTATGGTGAAATCAAGCATAGGTGATTGGTCAAAAATCTCCAATCACATGAAGCCGTTGTCTGTTATTTGATTGGCCAAAACCTGGAATTCTTTTTTTTGTATAAATGCATATATAGCTTATGGTTTTGATCAAATGTGCAAAAAAATAAGCTTTTATTGATAGATTAAGAAAGTTCTGACATCAATTATTATAATAGAACACATTCCTATAGCTGGCTGCCAAACATCTCGATTCCGGTATTCAATGGATCACTAGTCGATAGTTACATGTGTGTTTATTACGATGTTGAATGAGTGAATTCTATAGAAAATTTCAAAATTACTCTTTAGTCTGTACATAAATAGCTTCTAGATTTTATTAAATATTATTTCACCTTATCATGTCGTCGAAAGTTACTCGAGTATGTACCAAAAAAAGGAACAAGCAAAAATCGTTTTCAACGAAATCTTTTCTTTTCATTAGGACATGCTGTTTGAAACAACACAAAACGTTTTAACTTATTCTAATGAAACTAAAAAACGCAAATTTGCTGAAACTGTCGAATTACAGGTTGTCTTAAAAAATTTTGACCCTTCCCGTGATAAACGTTTCAGTGGTACCGTCCGTCTTCGTCATATTCCGAAACCAAAATTCACTGTATGTGTTCTGGGTGATGAAAGACATTGTGACGAAGCTCGCGCTAATAACATCCCAGCAATGACAATCGATGATTTAAAAAAATTAAATAAAGATAAAAAGTTAATACGTAAACTAGCTCATCAATACGATGCATTTCTTGCATCGGACGTTGTCATTCGACAAATTCCACGTATTGTTGGTAATTATTTTCCTAGATCAAAACTTTAAAAAAATCATTATCTCTAAATAATGTCTTTTTGCCAGGACCGGGTTTGAATAAAGCTGGAAAATTTCCAACATCTATTACACACGGCGATTCGTTGGTACAAAAAGTTGAAGAAATCAAATCGACCATCAAATTTCAAGCTAAGAAAACAATTTGCTTAGCAGTAGCCCTTGGAAATGTTAACATGTCCGTTGAAGAATTAGCTGCAAATATCAATTTATCAGTTAATTTTCTTGTTTCATTACTTAAAAAGAATTGGCAAAATGTAAGAGCACTCTATGTCAAATCGACAATGGGTAAACCACAACGACTTTATTAGAGAATAAGAAAAAAAAATGGGCGGCAACGACGACGAAAGAATAGTAGTGAAACAAAGAGAAAACAATTTTTTATTTAATTTACATCATTGTTTTGTTTTCTATGTATGTGCCAAAAGAAAAATAAGAAGAGAAATAAAAATTTTGTGAATAAATTTCTATTTCAATTATTACAAAAGATCTCTGTGTTAGTTAGATTTATTTTAATCATAGATAGTTTATTCATCAATGAATACCTATCGTCGACATTCAGGTACTTCGAACAGGTACGTTTTCGGTTGAAGTTATGTTTATGTTTATGTTTTCGTTCTATTTCATTGTATATGAAAATACTTGCAAATTTTAGTGGTTCATTGTGTTTGTGATTGTTTGTTAAAAGCATAGACATGTAAATGCTCATATTAATAATCGCTTTCTTGTTATACTTGCTTAATGTTCGGCAATGAGATTTATTTTTCTTGTGACATACAGGAGTTGAGCAAAGAACGCATGACTTCTTTGTTGATTAATCCATCTAACTCTGTAGTATGAAAGTCATGAACATAAATCAAATGCTCCGTTAGAAGCAGCTATTTATTGACATAGTGCAGATTTTTCCAATCAACTCCAAAATACTTATGTAACATGAAAGATACTATTGTTCTTTAATTAGCAAACTCACTAATTATCTTGTATCATTGTCTACGTATGATGTTATTAGACGAATAAGGAAAAACAAGAGGCGCGAGTATTTTATGTCGTTCTGTATTCACGAAATTCATTCGAACGTCTGTGCATTTGCCTGCGACAATATAGGATACTCGAATTTAGCTTAATTAGAGCGGTATATAATACGCAAATGAGTCGAATATAATTTCTATCATTGATTATAAATTCTTACTTAAAATGCATTTGCACTGAAAAAAAGCATGCTTTTGATGAAAGTATACTTTTTTTGAGAGAGAGAGAGAGAGAGAGGGGAAGGAAGGTAAAAACTTGAGGACATTAGTCTTTTTGTCATACGATGCTAACAAACATCATATTTACATTGAAAAAATACACGCTGCTCCGTAATCGACAGACTAATCCGATAAAATATGCGTAACATGTCAGTGTATGAAATCATTCGATTAAATCGATGGTCTATTTTTTAGTGATGTTGAGTACAATGATGACTCAAACGAGGAGGAACCCCGTACTGCACCACCATTAGCATATAAGCGTCAAGTAAGTTTTCAATCAGCACAGCAAAATAATCTAAATGAAAAATCATCCACATTCGCCCGATCAATATCTTCACCAGCCAAAGCCAATCGTAGGCGTATACGCTCTATAAGTCGTTCCCTTGACGAGCACGTGTCGTTTCGTGGCAGACAAACAATCTATACAGCAGGTAGTTATTTTATTTCAACATTCGATTATTATAATTTTCAAATGAATAAACAATAGGTCGTCCAGCATGGTATGAGGCATCCGGCGAAATTAAAGAAGCATTTGTTATTGGTATCTGTGGTGGAAGTGCAAGTGGTAAAACAACAGTAGCACAACATATTGTGGAGAAATTAAATGTACCTTGGGTAACGCTTTTGAGTATGGACTCGTTTTATAAAGTAAGATTGATTGAGTTTTTCTTAATTTTATGCAATAACTATTTAAATCAAAGGTTCTCACCGAGGAACAACATGAACAAGCAAACATGAATAATTATAATTTTGATCATCCGGATGCATTCGATTTCGATCTACTCATTGAAACGTTGAAAAATCTGAAAATCGGCAAACAAGTATGATGTCGAAGAACAAAATGTTTTATATTTAATGTTTTTTATGATTTAATTTTGGGTTAGGTTGAAATTCCTCTATATAATTTTACTAGTCATTCTCGTGAATCGTATACAGTAAATTTGAAAAGAAATATTATTCATTATATATTTTTTAGTATCTATAGAAAATGTTGTATGGCGCTAATGTTGTTATTTTTGAAGGGATTATGTCATTTTTTAGTATAGAAATTCGAGACGTAAGTATTTTTCTTTTCGATATAAATTAGTTTGTACTATTTAATGTCTTCACAAAAAAAAAAGATTCTTGATATGAAAGTATTTGTTGATACTGATGCGGATATTCGTCTTGCACGTAGACTTGAAAGAGATATTACCGAACGTGGACGTGATATCGAAGGTGTTATACAACAATATACACGTTTTGTTAAACCTTCTTATGATCATTATATTGCGCCAACAATGACCTATGCTGATATAATTGTTCCAAGAGGTAAGCACAATAATAATAATAAAACAGAGGGATTTTTCACACTATGATGGAAGATTCCTAAGACGCACTCGAAGAAAATCGCTGTTTGATCAGATCAGTTCGTTGATGGGAACAGCTCACGAATGTTTTATAGAGCTTTGTTTTTGACATCATTTCTTAGCTAAAATTTCAGACATAGGGGAAGAAATCTAATTATTGGGTTATTTCATTCTAGACAATACACTGTTATAGGCTATTCTTGTAGCTAATCGACTCGAAGCTTTCTCTTTTCTAGTGAAATAATTTATAATTATATTTTGTATACAGACAGATTCTGTCGCTAATTAATTAGTAACACTTCAACTCTTATGTTCGTAGTATAAACGAGTCATTTCTATTTACCAGAAGTTGTATTTTGATATTTTGCAACAGAAATATCTGATAACATGATTGTCCTATAAGAATCTAAAGATTTACCATATTTTCATGAAATATGAAAATATTATTTATACTTATAGGTGGCGAGAATGAAATAGCCATTGATTTGATTGTCTGTCACGTTAATCGAGAACTTCAAAAGGTAAATACAAAAACTTCGAATGGTTTATTTTAATTTCGATTATTCTATTAGCGTGGCGTAAAAGTTCGAAATGAACTTGTCCATAACGTCGATTTAATGTCTCATTTGCCAATGCCCGAAACATTTTATATTGTGGAACAAACAGCACAGATAAAATATCTTCATACTATCATTAGGTAATTTCGATAAGGATTCGTCTTGCAAAACTTGTGTGGTTTTTAAGAAATAAGGATACGGATCGCGATGAATTTATTTTTTATTCAAAACGTCTGATGCGAATATTAATCGAATATGCATTATCTCTATTACCATTCGACGTAATTTTATTTTGCAATATTTTTAATCGCAATACAAATTTTTGTTCGTATTATTTAGGATGTTACCGTAGAAACACCTCAAAATCTTATTTACACGGGAAAGAAACATGTATACGCTGAAGTAAGATATTTATGTCAACTGTTTTGTCTAAGTGTTTATCTGAACGCATAGATTTGTGGCGTGTCTATTATTCGCGCTGGTGAATGTTTAGAACCAGCACTGATTGAAGTATATAAAGACGCTAAAATTGGTAAAATATTAATTCAAACAAATCCAATGACTGGTGAACCTGAAGTAAGAAGAGAAATGATCTTTTAATCTTAATGAATGTTTTCAATGATTAGCTTCATTACCTTCGATTACCACGTGATATTGCTCGTGCTTATGTATTAATTCTCGATGCTACGATCGGTAATACAACATTTCTGTACTCTATCGTATCGCAAAAATAATTTTTGTTTTTAATAGCAACAGGAGCAGCTGCATTAATGGCTATACGAGTTTTATTAGATCATAATGTGCCCGAAGAAAAAATTGCTCTTCTTTCATTATTGGTATCAAAGCAAGGTTGGTTGATAATGCATCAATATTTCTATGAAATACGAGTTTCAAAAGGAGCGTTCAACTACAAGAGTCAAGAATCCGACTGAGATTCTTTAGTTTCCCAAGAAGTAACATACTGATGCATTTCGACTCCAATGATTTTCGGGGATACTTTAGTAAAAGGATGCAGAAAGAATAATAGTATCGACGTTGTGTTTTACACTTTAATCCTACAGGTAATATGGAAAAGAGTCTTTTTCAAATGCTTGATTTATACAGGAGTTCAAACAATCGCTTATGTGTTTCCGAAAGTCAAAATAGTGACAACTGCATGCGACACACAGCTTGACTTAACATCTGGCTTTATTTGTCCTGGTTTGGGCAATTTTGGTGATCGATATTTTGGAACTGATTTAACTGGATATACATCAGATGCAGATGATTTGGGCTTGATTGCCAATGGAAACATGAATTCTCAACCATCTACACCAGATTCACCTTTGTCTGGTCGAACTAGATTTCCGAATAATTATAGTTGAAATTGATCGTTGTCGATCGCTTGGAAAAAAAACCTGTGGTGCTCAAAATATGTTTGGAAAAAATTATTTCTATTTTGGATTCAAAAGTTTTGTGAGAGACTACTGAATATTGTAATCTCTTGTTTTCTCTCTCTATATATCTCTTTTAAGAATTTATTTTATTTGTTTGCGTTATTTTATTGATTTGGCTAATGTTTCGATTTTATCAGTAAATATATAAGCGAGCCATCAATGGTTGTCTTTTCATTTCAATATAACGAATAATTGAATACATGGGATTTCTGTAAAATTGGTATGAGGAATTTCAACAGAGTTAAACAAAACGCCCAATATCAAAGGGTGTTGTTTGATAAGATTTACTTTCAATATTATACAGTTGACATAAATGCTAAAATGAATCGAAAATCTAGTTTTTCGTTGAAACTTGGCAATCCTGCGGTAGTCTGTAAAGTTCATTTTCTGTACTAAAACGATTTACTCGAGAAAAGTCGTGCATAACTAAAACTTGTTGAATGATTTCAATCGCGACTGTCTTAGTGAGAGACGTTCTAAACCAGTTCCAGTCTCAGGGTGAAAAGAGCGAGACTCCCGTAATTCCGAGGAAGGAGTGCAGCAGTGAAGTAGATCTGAGTTACAGTTGTAGTAAAGAAATTTAAAAAAAAATACGTATTGAAAAGCATCGGAATTGTAAGACAAATAAATTCTGCAAAATTTTTGTGTCAATAGAAAAGCTAGAATCTCCGGTACCAGAAAAGTGTGGTCCCATACATCTTTAGTGTTTAATAGTCAAAGACTTCATTCCATTGAATTTTTCGTTTTCCTTATGACTCACTTATTATTGTAGATCTATCAGATGAACAACGAATGATGCAACCCTATCATCCATTTTTTTCTAATATTCCACCTCCACCTCTACCTACTCGTGAATTCATAATAAACGAAGGTTTAAAAGTAGTCCAACAACCAAAAATTGACCAAGAATGGTTAAAAAACTGGATCACAAGAAAAAAAGAAGAAAAACAATTGTCTTCGAATCGAATTTCATTATTTAGTTATCGCCAACAGTTGATTCAACATGCCCATCTTCTTCAACAATATGAAGATGCATTAAAAATTTCTAATCATGAAGTTTTACTTCAATTAAAACTTAAAATTGAACAGTCAAATAATTTCATATATGATTCTCATATTGTTAAAAATATTCAAAAACAAATTCATCGTAGAAAATCAAAACGTGCTCGACTTCGACGTCAAAAACAAAAACAACCAATTGCTACTGGCAACAGTATTATCAATGAACAACCATCCAATGAAAAATCTCTACTTGAAAAAATTCAAGATGTTAATTCATTACTTCATACTATTAAACAATTAAAGCGCATACGTCTCAAACGACTACAAGACAATATCAACACTATCGCGACGAACAATACAACTGAAGATGAATTAACTGAAATTGAAAATTTATGTACTGACCGATTGAATGAATATAAAGCTCAAACGAAAAAGCAAACCCATAAAGACTTGCTTAATTATCTTTTTAATAATCATGATCGATCTTTCTATGAATCGACTAATCCTGATGGGCAATATTATTTACGAGCTCACCAAAACAAAACTAATTTAGTACAAATTCGACAAGCATGGGATCAATATTCAACTACTCGTATTACTTCATTAGACAATATTATACCATCTCAATGGTACGAACCACATGTACCTTGTGATGCTAATTGGGCTCGATATATTTTCCATAGGAAAGAATAAATATTCTTATTTAATTATATTTCATGTGAACTATTGATTAAATAGAGAATGCTAAGGGCGCCATTAAACCGAATGAAATTAAAGCTTAACAGCACAATCAATGCAACTCTTCATCGAGACAGATTGTTCTTGTCTCAGCCGTTGCGTCATTTTACAAGACATACGAAGAGATTAAATTATCAATAGAGCTGACAAAATCGAATCATATTTCAATATCGAAATCAGTTTCTTAGTTTGGATCGATTTTATTGACTGTAGTGTTGCTTTTGAAATTGTAAAAATTCGGGAACTGACATTTGCTGTATTCAGTGCCTTTGTAAGGCTATATATGTTCTTATATTTAAACACGAGACAATAAAAAAAAGAGACCAGTTATTTATTCCGAGTTACTTGACATTAACTGGTATTCTCAAGATGATTATATATACAGTCTGCAATTGTACTTAGTCTCCGATAAAACATAAGTGCTTCATGTTTCTTTCTATCTATTCAAACTCTTGAGAATGATAGTCATTTCTGTTCGTAGACCGAACGAAAAACATAGATGTACGAAAAGTTAGACATGAATAAATACAAATAACTACTAACTCGGAATGTAACAGATGCGACAGATTAAATTGCCGGTTCTATTTGGATTATTTTTCAAAAGAAGATAATTTCGTTCTGATGATTAAATAAAAGCACTGCTTGTTTAGTAACAAAAAATGTCTTAGATAAAGAAGAATGACACTATTAGGTTACGTTGAATGATTCCTTTCGTATATATTCAGTACTATAGAATTTTTGTGGTGCGTTCGACCTGATCAGTTAATTTATTTCGACCCAAGAAAACAAATTTGATCAGTTGGAAACAGCAACATGTTTCTATAAAGTATCTCGAAACTCATCAAACAATAAAGAGCAGAACTTTGGCCGAAACAGATCTTGTCTTTGTGTGATATTGCAAACTATTTAGTCAATAAAATAACATATCGACACAAAAAGAAATTTTCACCTTTAAGTATGCGAACTAAACATTCTTGTTCAATCTATTTCGAGAAATAACCCGAGCTAAAACTAGTTGTTCAATCTGCTCTTTCTACTAATAATAAATAAACATGTCAATAAAACTGAAGTATGTTTACATAAGAAACATAGTTTTTTAACGGGAACATAATTTCTATCAATCATATGATTAAAAAAACATATAATATTTATCTTGATTGATTAGAAAGGAAAATCGTTTGCTAGACGAATATTTTTTCTAATAATATTCTATGATTCAGATGCTTAATCGTCACGATAAATAGTAATATTTTCGTGATTGATAGATTTATTTCTTAGCTAGATCGATTATCGACTATTATCTATGTAACTTAAACGAAACAGTCCTTTTTCTTTTTCGGCATTTTATTAATTACATCAAAGCCTACTGTAATTAAGCCTTCATCAAGTATAAAATATTTTAAAAAGATGTCAACATAAATTATATATACTGTCTTATTTTATTCGAAATAGAATAAAATTAATTTTCTCTTCTATCAGTAATCGATATTGACAAAAAGAAATTGAAGAAAAAAAGAAAGTAGAATTTCATTTTATCTGAGCATTTGTGAATTTTGTTAATCATATCAAGTTATAAATCTTATTTCTATAGTGTAGATCGTTGAAAAGTTGTCGTTCGCTTGTGGATTCGTTAAAAAGAAAAGCAATAGAAACTGAACGGATGATGATGACAACGAGTAATATATGTATTTGCCAATTGAGTTATGAATGTTATTGAGAGAAATTCACTCATCCGTCCGTTACGACCTCCGTATTGTTTCGGCTACATAGTTGCTCTCTTTCTTTCTTTTTTCCGCTATCTGTAAAAAAAAAGAAGAAGACGAAGAAGCCAAGGAGGAAACAGCGAAAGAGAGAAAATCATTATAATATCCATCGATAAACAGAGTACAAGAAACGAGAAAGATAAGAAACCTGTCGATTGGTTTGTTTCAGTTTTTTTTGTTCAAAATACAACAATTTGAAACCCTAGACAAAAAGACATATTATCGTCAATCGTTGTGATTGAATAATGCTCTTTGATTATTATCGAACAAATAAGACATAATGGGCTGTGTTTCATCGAAAAAGAAATTATCCAAAGCAGATTTAGATTTTCTTCAAGACAATACGGAATTTACAAAAGATCAAATTATGGAATGGTATGAAGGTTTTATTGTAAGTATTACATAAACAAATGAACACTTAAACTACCTAAGGGTATAATCATGTTTTTGTTTATCCTTCTACGTACACCAAATAATCGTATATTCTGTCAGTACTAGAAGCAAAAAAATTGTTCTTCCTGTAGGAAACGAAAATATCATTTGACTATTGTTCAAATTTCTTATTTTTTTTCTACTAACGTTCTTTTTACTTTCTATACAGCGCGTATTCCTTTGATAGCCGAACATCGGAACTAAGCCACTTTGACTTTATCAGTTGATTACATCGAAATATTAACTTTTGTTTTTTTTTGCCTCTTTTAAATAAAAGCTTAATCATATAGCTTTAAGTCTTATCACTGAAGCAGACTTCTTTTGTATGATAAACTAAAAGTCATTTGTATCTGTAAAGAACAATCAGCTAAGGAAATATTTTTTGACATTAAGCATTAGTCTTTTTAAAACAACCACTGATGCTGATTCTTTCCTTGTAGGATTTCTCATGATAATAGAACTAAATGATTCGAATAGCTGATTTCTTTCTCTCTAAGATTCCCTTTTCAGGATGTCTGTCGGTCGAAGATCACATCATTTGCTGGTAGTTTCTAAATGAGTATAATACATACATAGGGAAAAAAGGAAACGCCATCGAAAAAGAAAGAATGAAGACCGATTAATATATTTAAATTTACAGTCACATTTTGGTTTGATCGATGCACTTATTATTTTGTAACTAGTAATAATCGTGAGTTTTCCCATTAAGGAAACAATAAGATATTCAAATTTTTTGATTTCTAATCGCTAAAGAAAAAAAGAGAAGAGACCGATGAACTTGTTGATGATAACTAAGTTCATTGATTAATACTAATGTTCTTCATATCCTGAAGGATATAAAGACGCAGAATAATACTTCAGCGATACAATAAGAAACATTAAAATCGTAGAAGAACATAATTCAAGTGCATAGAATTTATGTATGCAGTCAAGAAATAACAAAAAAAAGTTCTTTATCTTGATCATTAGATTAAAAACGATGAACGACTACTAAAGCCGTATTAATCATCATAGAAAAGTCTATCAAGACGATTCTGGTTTATGATTAGAGAAATCTCATCAGGTTTTTCTACCATAGACCGAAACGAGCAAAAAAACATTCGGCTCGACTCAAACAACGAAGTTTCAAAAGCAGATTTTTCAGCAATAATAATAATTGACAACAGCAGGTAGGCTTATTCATCAATAACAAGAATCATAGATATCCGTGATCGGTCAGTTCATTGTTGTGTGACAAATTGGTTAATAGAACCTAATGTATTGAATGCGATGAAAGTCACGGTGCGCCATTCATTATTGTCTATTGGGCGTCGCCAGTTCATCGTCGTTTATTTGTCGTATTTTTTGTTCAATTAATTTACTGCAATGAGTGAGATTTGTATCATTGCAATGCAGCAACTGATAATAGCGGTCAATGTCGAGAAACAGTTGAATGAAAAAATGAAAACTTTCAAAAAAAAAGCCGAGTCTCTCAAATCAAACTCGACTTGACTAGATTTCGGTCTATGTTGGCTACTTCATGTGAAAGATATTTCCGCCGGATACCATTTTTTTTCTGTATAATTACAGTTTGGATATGCTTATTAATATTGTAATAAACTTATAGAGCAACGCCCTCCGAAAGTTGTAGATATAGAAAAAAAATATTGGTAGTAGTGATTTTATGAATAATATTAAATATGAGATTGGATAAAACTTCACACTTCAATTGCATTAATAAGCTTTTGAAACGAATGAAAATGTAAATAGTGGACGTATAAGGAATAGAATTCTAGCGTTGATTTTATGTTTATATAGATTATAGGAACGAAGAATTTTCTATTTTTTTAAGCTCGATTGCCCCAATGGTGAATTAACAAAGAAAAAATTCATTCAAGTCTATCGTCAATTTTTTCCCAATGGACAAGCCGAAGCATTTTGTACACATATATTTCGTACTTTTGATGCAGATAATTCAGGCAAAATTGATTTCAAGTAAGAATTTTTATTATTTAATATTCAAACGCTCGATTCAGCGCATATTATTGTCTCGGAACTTTTATTTATTAATCAATTCTATTTTTTCATTAATTTCTAGAGAATTTCTGATGGCAATAAATATTACAGGTAAACACTGACAATAGAAAATCGTTTATTAAACTATGAAAATAAATATTTAGCTAAAGGAAATCCTGAAAAGAAATTAAAATGGGCTTTCAAAATGTATGACATTGATTCAAATGGAAGTATTGATCGACAAGAAATGCTTAGAATTATAGAAGTATGTTGATACTATATATATGTATATTTATGTTCATCGTTATTTGATTTTTGTTTACAGTCAATTTATGATTTACTCGGTGCTGGTATTGCAAAAAATGCATCGAACGGTGCACTTGCAGGTCGTGATCCAAATGATACACCAGAAAACCGAACAACGCAAATATTTGCCATTATGGTAAGATTTTATTATGAAGTTTTTGATTATCATAAGAGTTCTTTTTATTTTTCAATAGGATGAAGATAAAAACGGGTAAGATATCGATGAGAAATGAACTGCGCTTCTTTTGTGTATGAATATTGTTTATTGTATTGTAGAGTTATTACAGAAGAAGAATTTATTCGCGGCTGTCTAGCTGATCGAGTTCTATATCAAATGTTAACGGCCGACACAAGCGAACCTGATCGATAATATGAACAACTGTGTTTTTGGCTTTTCTCTTTCGAGCGAGCGATGCATCCATACATTTGTTTTTCTTTTATTCTTATTTGAAATCTTTTTATTTGTCTTGTGACTGTCAGTGTATATATAATTAAAGTATTTCTGCTTTGTTTTCTAGTCAAAAGTAGAAAACAAAATATAAGCTAGATCAAAATATTAGAATTACATAGAGATACATTTTGCATTCAAGAATAAAAACGTGGCCTGATAAAAAAAAATGAAAATGAGCCTATACTTGTCTTATCTTTCTATGTGAAAATTCATCAAGTCCCATGTCAAATTACGCCATCGGGTTTTTAAGCATACAGTTCTGTTCATGTTACTGAAAATTTAATTCGATCATCTACTTAATTGCATTTTCCATGAGAAATAATACATATTGTATATTCTGATTACTCATGATTTGTCGGCATATTAGTCGCACTTGAACAGATTATGATGAATGTATATCTCTGGTGCTTCTAGCAGCTATTCGTGTTAGTATTCAGCCATATTTTCAATTAATCATGTGGGAATTAGCATATTTGGTTTTGTATTAAATCATAAGATAAACACACTCTAATAGAATTAATCATATAAGATATTCCGCGGTATCGAATGTTTAAAAAAAGTGAGATTAAAAACAAATACCTGTCAATGTTATGTACCCATCACGATCGGCTCACTATTCAAAATTTTCAGTTCTTTTAACTTAACCCATACGATCTTTAAGCGCGAAATGACTATCTCTGATAAGAGAAATGAGTTATGTATCTGACAAATTAGCCGATAGAAAAATGATTATGCATTATTTTCGGAATGACCCGGCGTCGAATTCGAACGATTTCTGGCAGAACTTCAAAAGCAAAACATTTCATACGTCATTGAAATTTTTATTTACGCAGTTCTATTTTTGCATTCACTTTTACAATACTTGAAAAACTACAAGCAGATTACATACGGATACTTTCTATTAAACAATAATAATTACATATTCCGATCTCTTTAAGTTATCTTCGCGCGCGTTATATTTGGCCTCAGACGTCAGCTATGTGTCAACTATGGTGGCTTGCCGGTGATGGCTATTCCGATACTATGACGATTCTTAAGGCTTGGGCTTTATTTGAAAGGCATATCTTCATATTTCGTGACCAATGGTTATCGAATAAAAGAAAACAAATTTTTGCTCATTATCTACCAGCCAAATTAATTACTATTTATTGTCTCCTTTACTATTTTGTCGTTATGTGTTTTCGACCTTGTAAAAATATCTATGGTTATACAGAAAAATCATGGGCATCATCATGTTTATATTAAAATGCGGCTTTAATTATGTATGATACTATATTGTTAATGATATTTTAGCTACTCTTTTAGTGGCAATATTTAGTACATCATTAATCATGCGTGTTCTTTGGCATAATCATGTTCGTTACCGTCGAAGAATTCAATGGTGTAGGCATCGTAAAACATCTTGAACCATATTTTGATTTTTTAAATTACTCTATATTTATTTTTTATCCATTTATTTGTTTTGGTGAAATGTTCAAGAAACTTCAGAAGTCACGTCAACACCGAATTATTGGTACAATAGGATTGAATGTAATTCCGCCATCAAAATCACATCTTCGACACACTGAAAAACATGATGATCTGCATTAATTGCCCACTAGTCTCGCTCCTCGTAGATACAACTATAAATAGAAAATGTACACATAATGAAAGTTCTTTTTTTTTATACAATAAGTAATTTAAAATAATCATGAAGAAATTTTATATCGAATAAAATAATTCTCATTTCAAAAATCTACCCATGGAATCATTTCTGTCTTTTGTTTTACCAGAAGTCATTATCTCATCGTAATCGTATTTCGTTTTGAGAGTTTTGTAGGTGTCAGCATAAGACTTGTTTTACTCTCCACTGGCCATAAAGCTCACTAAGATCGATTTTACGGTTTATTCAAATATGTGTTTTTGATCTCAGTCAGAATGCTAAAATAGAATATCTAACTTTGGAAAATTATTCATGAACGTGTAGAGCGTCTTCAGTTGTGATATGTTATTTGTTTCAGGTTCTACTCAAAGCAAATACTGACCACGGATATTCAGTATTTTTCACACTCTGATCGAATGTAGAAATAATATTTGTTCTATTTCCGGTCTAAAGATTGATTTAGTCGGTATTATTTTTTTAAAGCTGTTTCATAGGCAAATGTTCTGTGTGACAGTGAATAGATTTAGAAATTCTAATGACAGCTCAATTCTTTCTCAGTCATCAACGTGGGTTGTCATAACTATCACTACCTCGATACTTCTTATTTTGATGTAATTACGTTGGTCTATGTAACAATTTACTTTCAAAGTCTATATTAAAGACCGATGAGCAATCAATGGAAATGATAAGAATCTTTTCATTATGTTTTGGCAACGCTGAAAGCTTATTATATTATCAACACGCAACACGCGTATCATAATGCACTGACAAAAGGTCAACGTGCATATTTTTCTCGTTAGATACTCGAAGAATAGGATGATGCATACGTTCTTATCTATGTAGAATCAGAACTGACGAATTAGCTAGTTAAATAGTTGTAGTTAACGTATTTGGACCCCACAAAGCGTTTTATCAAAAATATTTTCGCCTACCTTCTCCACTATCAGCACCCAAAGGGATCAATAAAACATGTTGGAGTCAGCAATTTGATTCTCTATAGATAAAAACATGTGTCATCATATTCTGCGAAAGGTAAAAGAGAAAAAAACAATAAGTGTTGGCTTCCTTCAGTATAATATAAAAAGAGCCTTGCGTTTCATTACTAAAACAATTTTTCCGTTGTCCACGAAAATGGCACGACTACAAACCTTATTTTTCCTTGCTGCATTTTCATTTACATCTGGTTTAGACTTTAAAACAAAACTTTTGACAAAACAAGGTAAGTTTCACTTTGTAGATGCTAGTTCCTTTAACGGCAAGTATGAAAATACGGACGATGATGAAAATAATTATTTTCTAAAAAGCTCCCTGGCAGCGATTTCGTTTACTCAATCAAATATGAATTTAGATTGTGCGATCTGTGCATTGGATGATATTTTCAATCCTCAAACAAATTATACATGCTTTAATATGGGCCTGTCTGGAATGACAATATGTACATGTCCCGATGGACAGTATACTGTGAATACACGATGCAGTAAGTATTCTTATATGCGTTACTTTTACAATTTTTGATAGAATGAAGACAAGGGCGATTTAAAAACATTGTTCTCTATTTCGAAACTAGCCGTTGCGTTGTTTCAAGTAATATCGAAATCATGATTAACGTTTTGGTTGGTCATAAACTCTGATTTAGCACAATCGAAGCGTGAGAAATTCTTTTTACAAAGATGACCGCCTATTACTTACTAGATACGAGCTGAAAGTCAAGAATTCTAATGTCATGTTTAACAAACACTCTGATTTTCAGATAGATAGATCGTAGTATTTCGTTGAAAGTGTGATAATAGAACTGGATAATACGTTTACGTACTATTGACTTGAGAAAGAGACTAAAAGCGGAATGGGTTTTAGCATGTATCAATACACTACAGTCGATAATTTTTCTCGGCCAGTATTGCAAGCATAGAAAGTTAATCACAAAGAAAGATTTTGAATTTATTGACGGTCCATCGAACTACATACATATACTTCCCATATCAGATGAACGCCAAATTTAGATAGAAAGCTGCGTGTGACTTTTATCTGATTGTGTCCTCTTCGAAAATAAGCACAATTGAATAACTGAAAATATCTTAAGATTATGTTTTGTTTTTTAAACATGATCAATCTTATTACGAAGTTGCACCTAAATTCCTACTTTAAAGAGAAAGAACTTAAAAAAGAAAATGAAAACGATATTAAAATGCAACATGTTTTAGTAACATTATCATATATTTAGTATTTTGATAAGTTTTCCTCTATGGCACAGCTAAGTTTACACTATTTTGTTATTAAAATCATCGACGCGACATTTTTTCAAATCTTTTTTTTATTATGTTTCATCGACGATAAGACAGTTTCATTCCTAGATCACGGAGGATTCAGCTGAATCGCCTCAATTAGGTCCTTTTGAAAAATAGGTGTGCAATAGTACGGATATTTTCTAGGATTGTGCGATAGACCGAATCTATGTGGTTCTGGTAATAATACTTATTGTTCAGAAAATCCGATTGGACGTCCATCTGGTTATACATGTTTTTGTCCAAATAATCAATTCACATATAATAAGCCGTGTTCAGGTACAGTGAGATTTTCACGTATTTAGCTCTTATCAGTCAAAATTATGAACATTTCCTTTTAAAGATCTTCCAACAACAACTCAGAAAACAACAACAACAACCACAACACGACCTATTCTGACGCTATACGATTCTTTAGGTCGCGTTCAAGGATACATAAATTTAACCGAAAACGCCCAAGTTGCAGAGCGAGATCACATGTCCTCGTTTTACAGGGGTGCCGCAGTTCGTGGATCAAAGCCGAGATCTGTTGGTATTTATCGAGTAAGATTTCTCATTGAACGAATGTATTTGAACAGAAAACTGTTTATCGGTGTTCAATCGTCCACTGTATCCCAATGCACTTACAATATGGGCTATGAAGATATTTACGAGAGTACCGCAAACTGTTACTATACGCCGGCAACAGGATGGTTTGGTAATAACTCCATTGCCATGCATGGTAGAGGATATGATAGCTCTACGTCAGCTGGACCCGACTATACCGGCAACTATGAACAATATTACATAACAAATGATATTGTAACTCTAATTATCAATTGTGAGGAAGCCACATTGACGTTAAAAAACGAGCGTACCAATAAAGAATATCAAATGTTTATTAATGATCATAAAAGTTATTACAGCCGATTACCTTGGATCATATATATTAATCTATACTATCCAGGTGATAAAATAAGACTTTTGCCATTAGAAGATCTTTAAATTATATGTAGCATATGTAATGCTTCGATTTTTGAATATTTTCATATAAAAAATAAAAATAAAAAGCTAGCATTGTTTCTTTTCGTAGTCTATTTGAATTTAGCAGCAACCAATTAATTGCATCAGAGTGATAACGAAAGCGAGAGTGTAAGTGCCTGTGAGCTCAATGAGAATATCGCCGAAACATGATTCATACCAAGACGCTATAATTATACCGATTGTTTCGAAAGTCTATTGAAACGGCGTAGCAACAGATAGTGAAGAGCATTTGTAACGTACTTTCCAAAGACATATCAACAGCGATCGAATGCAGTGGTGAGATTCGTCGTATATGTCGAAATGACTTTTTTATTATATTAATCTAACACTCTTAATCCCTCTCATCGATTGAAGAGAAAAAAACCTATTTTATAATTAGCCATGAGTTCTCTATGTTGTGAACAATAGTTTTTATATCTTTTGTCGGATAAAATATTGCACGGTATAAGTCTATCTATGATTATTGTTAGCTTTTAATAATTGACATATTAAAGACGATCTGTTGTCTATAGTATTAGTGCTTTGAATTTAGATATATAATAATGGTATTAAGGCCCATATCAAACAACTAAAGTCAAATACACGATAAAAATTTTGTTTTACGACACAAAAACCAATACAATTTCATTGCCCATTTTAAATTGACAAATATTGTATGACAATATTTTGCTTCAAAACAAATTATAATCTGTTAGTCGTGAACAATCATTCATCTGTTTTTTTTTGTAATGTAGGCGAACAATTGCAAATCGACCGATGATTATATGCACTAATATTTATCTAATTACATGGGCGCATTGGAATATTTATATCAACTCAAGTGACATTATTTCATTTCGTGAATAGCAAATACGTAACTACTCGTCAATAATATTCATTATAATGAACAAAATCATACTCATAGTAAGTACACCGATACGAAATGAAAACTAAAAATTTAATTTAACCAATATTTTCATAGTTGTGCTTCATCGTCGGTACGACACAGTCGTTCAACGTTGCAGGCATCGGATCAATGGACAGCACAATTGCTATGTTATGCAATGCAATTACAACAAAACCAGAATCAGCTAATATGTTTATTGATCGGCTAGAAAAGTTCCTTAAGGAACATCAACAACAAATACAAGAACGTTTCACGAACACATATGCATACATTAGTCAAAAGGAAAACCAGAATAAATTAAAAGTTGGCGGCGAAAGCTGCAAAACTTTCTTTGATAATTTGGAAAGTCCACTGTTGACTGATTTACAAAATAATCAAGGATTACTTCAATTTATGCAGCAGATGATGGAGCATCATCTCAAGGATCTTATCAGCATGATTCAATCATAGACTGTTGGGTGGTCATCAAAATCATCTCAAATAGCAATTTAATTTTTGTGTCTAATGAACACTTGTTTCTTTCTTATTTCGATATATCATCTCTTTTATTGAAAAATGACCAGATCTATAAATTTCTTATGGGGACCTATATTTAAGTGGTCCGTCGTAAAATAAAAAACGAGACCACCCGGTATTTTGAATGACTAATGTTGATTTAAAAACTTATGCATCATATCTTATTTCATCTATCATAGAATTTATTCCTGTTTTGTCAGCAGGTATGATTTCACCACAACGCTATGTAACGTCTTCAAATCAACGTATTAAGATGTGCCATTTCAACAGATATATAGTTCGATGCAATAAAGATAATTGAGATATTGCTATTTTTGTACGAATGTTTTCAGTCTATTGCTTAAGTTTGAAGTGTCATTGAAAAGTTCTGTTAAATTATGTGAAAATTGTATTCTGAAACAGTACGTATTCTATTGATGATAAAATAGAGGAACCCAGCAACATCGAATAATTACAAATACTTCAGCAGATATACTAAATAATATTGACTTTTCTTGTATTACAACGATTCTACAGGCAATGAAAAGACAATGCCTTGCAAAGTAATAAAGATTCACATAAATATAGAAAGTTGAGCATTAAGACCCAGATTTGAAAAATCCTGATCGGTCTGGTCCTGATCAGGCTCGTAAATCCTTGGATCCGATGGGCTCTAGATGTGAGTGGGTGTTATGAAATAAAACAGATACCCACACTCGCAAGCCTTTGTTGGTGACTAAGAATAGGAAAAGGTAAATTTATGAAGTACAGCAAATATTATCATCCTTTCTTATTTCGTTATCAAGAAAAAAACGAAAACTAATGTTCCCATGGAATTTTATATTGTTTCAATAATTTCTTGCATATCTAAATCGATCACTGTTCCACTTTTGGCTCAATAGTTTTGTTTTCGTATAATCTTCATAGCGTTGGCGAAATTCATTCTCATCCTAAAAAGAAAAAAAATGTGAAATCACTTTACAAAATTTCTTGTGGAAATTACTTTGAAGTTTCATAATGATGTTAACTCTTTTTCTCGGTATCTTCAGAGAAATTAACGGGTTGCGATCATTTACTTTTTGTAAAATAGTGTTTGTTCAACCGTGGTAATGTTTAAAATAACACACGTTTGCTAATCATCTGAATAAAAATTCCATATGATAAACGTCACAGTATAGGCAGTATTAGTAGCAGATTGATGTGATGCTAGCAGACATTTGTCTGTAAACATGTAGCTGCCGTTTTCACTCCTCATTCAAGCACAAGTACATAGTGTTTATCTGTTTATAAAATCAGCGATTTTATAATTAGATTCTCTATAAACTACATAAAATTTCCTGAATGTGAGTGGTTGACGTTTCGGATCTCTTTTGCACTATAGGCTTAGATATGACACTGCTCTTGTTATAAAACAAAGAATTCTTTTTATAGATTATGCAGGCTATCGATGTTGCTTTTTGTTAGCTGTTAAATTGATGATGAACTGCTTTACAATACGGCTAATATTGATCATCGATCATTTTGTATTTTGTTAAGCGTAAAGTGCTTAATATGGCATATCTCAAATAAAATTCACGCGAAGATCTAAATAGAAGCTATCGTTATAACTGAAACAGAGCACACTCGAGCATTTTCAATCATATTATCTGGCTAGTTATGTTGCAGCTTATAATAAGTAAGTAAAAACAGCATCGAGTACTAGTTAAAGTCGAATCCAGTACTTCCGAATCTATTACTATCTTCACTTAGATGAGACAATTATTTTGAGTTCTTCTTTCTTTTATCACTCAAAGATACGAGGATCAATAAAGATACTATATCTTGAAAACATGTTGGAAAGTACGCAAAAAGGTAGGTAGTTTGAAAATAGTGTTGATAACAAGAGTATAAAACTGGTTCGAAAATATAATAATTAAAAATTAAAAATAGATGGCTGCTTTTCTACGAAGTAACGAAGTCGAAATAGAAAGAACAGGCGTTAGTGCTAATGTTCCATACAATGACGTCGCACGTCTCATGTATTATTTGCATTGTGCTTGTACATCAATCGACTGCAATGATGATGCAGCAATTCAACGTTTTACAAATTACCAAAACTGGTCGTATCTGTCGCTAGATGAGAAAAAAGCACTCGTCGTCTTATGCTATTCATTCAGTCCAGATGTGTTGGACAATAAAGTTTTCTTTCAAAGTGATGAATTGTGTGGTAACAGTACAAATCAATTCTACAAAATAAGTCAACTTAGGCACGAAATCTTAGCTTCAGAATCCATCGTCATCGCTGGACGAACTCGTCAAGTCAATAAGATCATGACATATAAGATGCAATGGATGACAACATATTATATTGAGCCAATGAGACGACTTCTAGCACAATTCGAGAGTCAATCACGAGCTCCTGCTATAACTTACACTCCGACTTACAGTGCACCTAGTTCTCGTCCACCTGTCATACGTCAACCGATCAAGAAAAGTTCCAAATGTAGCTGTAAATGTGTCGTTGGTTTTATTTGTTGTATCATCGTTACTATTATTATTATTTCTGCGATTGTTTCTGTAACAAAGAAATAAGACAATCTATCTAATTGCGAGATTTATCGAAAATCATATCCTAACTATTTTTGTGTATATGATTTGAAAAAAAGAAAAAAACAATTCGTACAATATCTATATATGATGTATCGAAACTGAAAAGGTCGCATCGTTTCACACCATATATGAAACATTTTCTTCATATTGCTAGATACAACACAAGTTATTTATGACACTCGATTAATTATGTTAATGTCTGAGATATATTTATATGTATCAGAAAAATCAAGTGTGTTTTTATAATTTAAGACAGTCTTTTCATTTCTAGCTAATGAAGATAAATCATGTATCAATTAACATCTCGAATACGAGTAGTCAAGCAAGAAATTTGCATTTAGCTGTTGTTTTTTTCTCAATGCGAAAGAAAAAAATCAGTGACATCATTTGATAGTTGACAGAATATGCCATAATCAAGAGGAAAGAAGATGAAATATAGTAGTATTTTTCTTTCTTTCTGTGATAATCATAAAAAAGAACGGACATTCTCTGTCGGCAATCTATACCAAATATTTATTATCGGAAAGAAACGAACGCAAATAATATAACGTTTATTTATGACTCTCTCTCTCTCTCTCTCTCTCTCTCTCTCTCAAGCCCCAGTGTCAGTAGAAAACACGACGTGAAATAGTCTCAGCAATGAAGAAGGATCGTTGCACTTTTGAAATGGATGTGGAAGAAACATCTTCAGTAAAACTCGCACACACTGCATCAAAGAAGTGTTCGCTCTTCACGTGGTTCCGACGTCTATTTACTCTTGACAATTTACCAAATCAAAAACAACATTTCCCAGTGTTTATTATTACGATGAGTATCCTACACATTGTGATTTTGCTTCTTATATATGTAACTCGTACTGGCGATGTTCATAGGTTTATATTAGCCCTGTATAGATTCGGTCGATTATATGTGCCATGTATGCGTCCAACCGTAAGTCATATTCGTATGCGTAGTGTTCCCTGTAATATATTTGGCAAAGGTGGCATGTGTTCTTACGATGATTTAATCAAACAAGAATGTTTTTCATTTGCATATCCACATCAAATATGGCGTATGATTACTGTTAGTTGTTTGCATTCAAACTGGCTCCACCTAGTGAGCAATCTGTCAGCACAACTCATACAAGGTATCCCAATTGAACTCAAATATGGTACACCTTACACTCTTGTCATCTATTGGCTTTCAGGAATCGGAGCTAGTTTGGTTGGTTTAATTAGATTAGGAAGTGAAGGTAAGTGAACTTGTTGACAAAATTTTTACACTATTCTATAAAACGAACCATAGTCATTTGTACTTTACAAGTTTTTACACGGTTTTTCCTCTTAAAAGAGAATTTATATGCAGAATATTGAAAACATGATGTTCATTGGATAGAGTTGAAAAAACAAAATGATATGTGCGCTTCAATTTTTGTCAGTCAATTACCTCAGCTGAGAATGTTGGATATTTATTATGCGAATTTATAACCATCGATAAAATGTGTATATGTTTTTGTTAGGAGCAGTTGGAGCTTCAGGCTGTCTACACGGTTTAATGTTATTCTTGATTATGGATCGTCTTTCGGCATTAAAAACAAAACATGGTTACGATCGTGTCTTCATAATCTTACAACTAGTTTTTCTTATGTTACCATATGCTGTTACTAGTGCGACTCTTATAATACAGTATAGAGTAGTACACGATGCTCATGTGGGTGGTGCTTTAGTGGGTTTTCTTCTTGGCATTCAGGCATTTGGCTTGCCATTATTTTGTATTTGTAAAAATGATGATATCCATCAAAAAATATTCCGACAATTAGCAATCGTGCTTCTTATTCTTTATTTTTTGATGATCGTGGTTGTCTTTTTGCAAATTGATGCACCTATAGTCGACCGAATTTTGTACAGCGGTATCATGTACAATGGCACAATTGATTATCAGTACTTTGAATGAACTAGTTAACATGTGGCTAGTATAGGTATTGGCAACCTATTCAAAATTTAGAAGACAACTTATACTGTGAACGTAGTCTATCGAATTCTATTAGGCAAAAGTTTTGTTATCAACTGAGTGTGTTTATCTCTCGAAATTAATTTCAGCTCATACGTTTGTACTAGGAACTGAATTGTTTGATTTGTATGATATTTTGATCGGAAGAGTTTAAATTTATAGTATAAGTCACACATTACGATCCGCGCATTATTGATTCTGTAAATATAAATACTTTATAATTTATACATTTTAGAAATGAACTCATTTCAATAACTTTGTAAATACTTAAAAACAAACGTAGTAGCTATTTTAAATAAAGACACGAACAAATGCTTGTATCTCATATCGACATTTTGGGCATGATCTTAATGTACGACTACATGGAACACATGTAACAAAATGTCCACATGGAATGCATGCAAGACGCTTTTCTATGTTCCTACACAGTAGGCAAAGATTTGTCAAAGTCATTGTATTAGTGTCGATCAATTTTATAGGTGGTATCATAGGAACTGAGTCTGTTGCTATCATCGTTTCAGCACTTCTTATCCCAAGTATCTTTGAATTCGAGACGGTGCTGGATGGTTTCGACAATGCTGTCATTTCGAGATGAGAAACATTTGATTGAGCCGTCATGGGTAATATCACTGGCGATGAAAACGACGATGATGTACAACCTGCATCTACATAATAACTATTGTATTTTAGACATAATCCCAGACGCATTTTGATGGAATTTACCTCCTTGATTTGGATAATGAATCTGTCGCATACGTACACTAGGCACGATGATATTCTCTTTCTTGCCATTGATATGATCGATTTTTTTCTGAAGAATGATACAAGCTATCAGTAGATCAGTGTCAGACTCAAAATCATCCTCTTAAAATAAATAAATAATTATGCATATTTAATTTTCAATTGTAGAAGTCTAAAATAACTCTAATCACGTTTTAATCGAAGTTGATCTTCCCAGCATCGTTTGATAATAGATAATTTAAAATTTTTGTTCAATAATCTATGTGATACTGGTAAATCCAGGCGAGCCGCGACCAAGCGTGACAATGTACTTTCATCTGATATTTGTAATTTTTTTCTTGTTGAATTCGCACTATTCGTGGTATTATTAACTTGAGTTTGTTCTAGAAGAATGGCGAATTTTCTCTTTAAACTAATTCTTTCGAGATACAAACCTAGTTATGTACGAGTGTTGATATGATGAAAATAATCTTAAATACTATTTTCATTAGGTTTCTTGGAATACTTTAAATTTTAAAAAATCTAACAGTGTTTGGTTTTCTTTATAATTACAATAGACTTATATTGCTGTATCTTCCTAATAAAAATATGGACGGCGCGTGGCATTTTTCATTTTAGTATTCTCACCCTCAGGGGCCGCGCGAAGGACCAAATATTAGGGGGGTGTAACGAAGATTGTGGGGGGGGNTAAACTTCAAGGTAAAATTTAAAGTACTATACCGTAATTCTTCTATATTTTAATCTTAGTCATTGCACGTGTTTAAATAGATATGGTATCATAGATGTCTTGAATACTTCAGAGAATGTGTGTGCTCTTAGTCATGGGCGCTCATATATGCGTGAACTCTATCCAATCCAAAGAATCACTATTTTAAAACTTGATACTATCCAAATTTTTGAGAAGTTGTAAATTTTGGCCATACAGTTTCTCTACAAAACTGCTGGAATCCCAGTATAAATTTCATAATAAATTTAGTTGGCTGACTTCGTATGCGGCAAGGCTTTGTTTTAATGGGAAAGATGGAATTATGACGACATGAACGTGTTCTAGAGACTTATACTTCACTGTCTCTTATCATTTAGATATGAATGATCAGCCTCTCCCGCGTATGGAACGACGAAACTCACTGGTTCATACGAATATCATAATTAGAGAAAGTCTATTAAGTTCAAAACATTATATTTTTGCCATCACTTCTCTCCTCCTCATTTCTCTCCAGACACTTAGTATCGGTGCGGTGTACAAAGATCAATGCTCAATACAACCGAAAATTCCAATATACTTGATCATTTTTGGAGTATTTGGTAGTGTGCTTGTTATGTTGTTGATTACTATTGTAAGCATAATCTACCTGTATGAATTCTTCACTATAATACAGTTTCTATTAGAATGTCGTCCATCGATTCATAGGAAACCGAGATTAGCAGAATGCCTGTGCCATCAGACTCAGTGCGGCATTATTCGTTGGTAGCTGGTTGATTGTGGTAAGATCTTCACAAGAAAATGTTTAAAAATAAGAATGTTCACATCGAAAACGGAGCCTCTATGTAAAAAAAAAAGCTGGTAGCGCAATTCCTGCAAGATTAACATGTGAATCCAGATGAAACTGATTTATAGAAATCGCCTGTCATGGTCTGCGACAGAAGGCTTCAAGAGATTGGCACAATCCATGTATAACTAACATCAGATTGGAATACATACGAATTACTTCCTTGTTAACGTTCTATACTGGAAAGGAAGCAATGATATAGAAATATACATAAAAATACCAGTTTTTCGAGAATCAGCAACAGTATTTGGATTGTATTTCACATTTTTAATACCATAAGGATTGCGCTAACAGTTTTTTTAGAACTGCTTCAGTGAGAACCAGTTAACAGAACCCAAAATTTAACCCAGGATTCATTTCATATAAATTTTTGAACCAAGCTTTTACTAGATAATCTCATTATATTGGATATCTATCCAAGTAAATCTTCAATAAATCATACAGAAGAGTTTATGTTTTCTGTTAAAAATGATATTGCCATACATGGAATTTGAAGAAATGTCTTTTGAAAGTCCAGACTGAGTTGGATATTCAAAAAGATCTCTGAACATGATTGACGGTTATTTAATCGACGACTGCGAAAAATTCTAGTGAAAGTTGATGTATTTTATTCAATATCAATTTCTCACGAGGTGAAGGCTTCTTATGCTGAGACCTGAGAAAAGATCAAGTGCCCTTTAAGGTGAAAAACATATTTGTGACGAACATAGAGAGTGTCGCCTATGCCCGTCGGCATGATGGTGTATTGTGTCATCTGCACATTTCTAGTCGTGCATTTCCTTAAGTTACATTCCCTTATATACGCGAGAGCGATCACGCTTGGGCGGATATAGACAAAGAGGGAACGGTCACGCAATAGAACAATGAGAGTTCATCAGGTCAATGCACAAACATAGGATACAGCGAAGAGGATAAAGTACATAAAGTGAGCCGTAACGGTAAATANGGATATAGACAAAGATGGAACGGTCACGCAATAGAACAATGAGAGTTCATCAGGTCAATGCACAAACATAGGATACAGCGAAGAGGATAAAGTACATAAAGTGAGCCGTAACGGTAAATACCGTTACAATATTGTGATGAATGAATATACTAGCTAGCAAGTTCTTCATTCGAATTCTTCTTTTATGGTGGCGCCTTCACTTTTTCAGTCTTTAATGCTGCACAATATTCAGATCCGTCGATCAATATATATTGCCACAAAGTTCTATACTTGTACAGTTTTTCGATGACCATTATTTGTTACGTGATGCCTTTGATTCTTTTCATAATTTCTATGATAAGAGCATACTTTGAACTTAAAGTTTACATCAATCGTGGAATGAAGACTGTAATAAACACCATTCAAACGGAGCACTCCTGATACGTTCACATAATGAGATGAAACTTTAAGATTAGAACAATGATAATGAGAAAGCAAGTAGTGTACAGAAAAGAGAACAAGTTTTCTTCGAAAATTTGAAGGCGTGGCTGAGGCTTATTTTACATTTTAACTGAATTAAAAGTCTTTCTTTTCTGACGTAAACCTTGATTTCTATGTTTAATAAATAAAGCAATCCTTCATATGCTTCACTAATATGAGCGACTTCAAATAAAATAAAATTGTATCTCAATCTTCTCTGAAACAGTGTTCACACTGAAATTCGTATCGGTATACGTTCCGACTTTAACTGAGACTATAATTGTGACGATGACTATTTCGGTATAGGTCGATATGTGATAGTTTAGGGATATTAGCGTGCGTATCATTATGTTTGGTTGTGGCCAATATCGCTTTGAAGTAGATAGTGGCCATTAGAACAAGCTTCAGAAACACTCAACCATACTTAAAATTTGCCATCTACATAATAACTGTTTCCTAGACTGAAAGGATAGGGTCTAGAAACCGTAATTCACTTGTGTCTGTCCGTGTGTCTCTCCACCAGTTATCCTCTGAAACCGCAACCTTAGTACAAGTGACCATTATTATCGCATATATGACTATTTCCATGGCAAAAAACATGGGTGGACCCATGGCAGGGTAACACGAAATAGCCCGCCATGGTGACGGAGTCAATGAAGGGGATGACGGCACTTTGTGGTGAGTCCCGCAAAATTTCTGAACTGTTTATTTTGATGGTTAGGTAAGATTCAACCTCTCATTCTTCTAAAGAACTTTTGAGTTACCCTCTGCAATGACGCGATTTTTCCGACACATATTTTATTGATTGTAGTGGTGAAGTCCCCACACCCTGGCTGCCTTTCGACTTCGCTTTGCATACTTTTCTTTTAGTGCTTTTGCTTGGAAATTTTTCATCTTCGTCTAATGCGTACCTTAGTTTTACGGTTTTTCGCCCCCTTTTCAAGTCTCTTCAACTTATCGACTGATCTCTTCCGAAATATCAGCACTCGCTCCTGGCACAAGCAACCCATTTTCTGTCCTGTCCATACTTTTCCCCTGGTATAAGCACTGCCAGTCTAGGACTCAATGAATCAACTGTGGATGTCGACGAACGTTACTTGTAACCTATTGCATCAAAAACTAGAGTTGATTACATAATTTTCATATGTTCTTTTCTTCTGGCGTAATTATTTTTATGTATAAAGTCAAATAACAAATTGGTTCCTTCCGAGTAAAAATTAATCACAACCTTTGTACTTTCAAGAAATAGACAAACTAAGCTTGCTTTGTTGAAGAATTTTGACAAAACTCCTTTAAAGAAAATAAGCGTTGTAAGATTTTGTTTTCTGCGAAAATGACGCCAAGACTATAGTTGATTCGGTAGAAGTGCATGAAAACAAAAAATGAGTTATTCAAGATATTTATTTTTCTTATCGAAATTTATTTCCTAGGAAACAAGAGAATACCTTTCGACAACAATAAAAAGCTGGAATTTCGAAAGTTTCCAAGTAAAAGTAGTATAAAAATTTCTTGCAAGCATATTATATACGCAAAAGAATTTCTATAGCTATTTTACTATTCGACTCTCGATATTCTTAACAAGTAAATATTTTAAAGGAATAATATAGATATAGTTAGCTAGGCTGCAATACCAACATTAGGGTGTGGATGCGCCTAACAATACAGCCACAGCTATTTTTACATTCTTGTAATGTATCATGTGATTACTTATCTATAAAAAGAAGTAGGTAACGACATATAATTTTATTATAGTTGTTTCATTTGAAGATTTTCAAATCGAGACTTTCTTTCAATCAAATAGAAAAGCAGCTTTTGATCGATCTGAAAGTATGATCATCGTGATAATTATAATGGATTTTTTAAAAACACATCTAGCCACAATAATACAGAGTTAACATTGAAAATCTCTTACTATGTTGATTTCGATTTACGTTATCGTGAAACAACTTTACCTATACTTTACTCCTTCTACGGATGTATTGCATTGCACTTATGATGAATTATGAAAATGAAATCGATTGAATTGATGTTTCTGCACCAGACTTCAATACAAGCTAC